AATTTTAAAATCTGGCATAAAAATAAAACTGTCACCCTATTTTGAATTTTCACACGGAGGAATCAAAATCCCCATTCCAGATTTCGAACGTACCGCCTCTCTCTGTCGAGCTCTGGATCCCTGCATCCGCGCGACAATGTAGACCTTAGATCCAGATGCACAATGTGGTGCTTACGCGAATATACAAAACTCTGAATCCTGAAAATCACGTTTTACTTTTGGAATGTAGAATGCTGGGGTTTATATCTATACAGTTCACATTGAAACGTTCAAACTACTCCCATACTCCTATTTAAGTTGCAATTGACATCTTTTATAAAATACACACGTGACATGAAGCATCGTTGCAGAGCTTCGCAGTTCGAACGCACGGCAGCCCTCGGTAAATACCGCGGATGTATCGACCATAAATATGCACCTACTTCACAGGAGGTATTGAAGAGCCCATGACGTTAATTAGCAGCTTGAAAATAAGTTGTCGACATTTGAGAACAGAGAAACGATCAGCAAGCACCCTTTGCTGTCTGGCTGTGTGAAGCCATAGCGAGACAGGATTTGTATGTTCTCCGCCGCATCTCCTTAGAAGGAAATTGTATGAAAGAAAAAATCCGGAGGTCCTTCTCTTGCGCACAGACACACGCGCGCGCGATAGATAGAACACAAAACGCGCCACACGCAGGAGGTACACAGCAAACGTAGCTCGTAACGATCCACAGCAAATTGCCTTTACGCACGATGATCGCTCCATCTAATTTCTCTCACTGAAAAGTGATGAACAACAACACGCCGTTTCAATAAGCAATTACAATAACAGCTGACAATGTTAACAGTTTATTTACGTATTCTTATTTTTGGCTAGATCCACGTCTCAAGTGAGCTTGGCCAATGCCCTTACAAATCTATAAACCAGGTGTCATGTTGATATTGTAAGCGACAAAAATATTTATTTTCCATCATTAACTGTCTTCCAATTCCTTTGAGATCCACAGACAAAGAGAAGAATTGTAGATTCCCTGGTCTTCAGAGATAAGAGGCTGACTGATAGGAAACAAACAAACTGCTGTTTACGAATCATCGTCAGCCATGTTCAATCCACTGCTAGATGAAGACCTCCCCAAGCCACCACCACCTCCCACGATCCCGCGATGTGAATGATCCGCCCAGCACCTGCATCCGATCCGATTTCATGGCTCCGTCTCCACGGTGGGTGTCCTTTCAGATTGCGTTCCGTTCGTTGGCTGCCACTCCTTTATTATCTTTGACCATCGTCTCCTTCCAGCCGCTACGCGCCCTGCCCAAGCCAGCGCCGACTTTTCTTCGCAGTTCGAACGATGTCAGTGACAGTGGCCATCGTACGTAGTCGAACCCGCGTGCTCTTCTCCCCGTCTCTCGCTATAATTCTAAGCATGCGTCTGTGTGTATACGCAATGTACAAATCATGTTGTGTAAGTGAAAGAAACTCGCACATAGCATCGGGCTTGTATGTCCAACTTGTTTACACAGCTCTTGCGGACCCGCACCATATGGAATGGGACTCGACATGATGCCGTGTATGGCAAAGTGATTTCCTAATAGCCAGCCAATTCCCGGCAGCTAAATTCCTGAATGTTTTTTCTTCTTCTAAAGTGCAATCTTTTGTGAAAACTGTTCCAAACTGGATTATGACTGATCGTGAGGCCAAGTTAAAAGGGTATGACATGAACGCTTCTGCTAATTAAACGGTGCATTTTTTTGCGTGTTATGGCAAAATAGTTGTAAATCAACGACTCGATCAATTTCGATTTAAAGCTTTCGTGACTGCAGGGATTCATCTTCTTGGTTCTTTCGGTAAAGTCACGTAGAAGGGAAGTAATAAGACTCTGTCGCCTCGACGGACCTGGTTTTCACCTGAGGACGGCTGCTTGCGTTGTGGCCGAAACGTCGTGAGAATTGTTTTATTATGTTTTATTTTTATTATTTTATTACTTCCCTTCTACGTGACTTTACCGAAAGAACCAAGAAGACTCGATAAATCTGCAGCCCACTTGGCGCTTTGGGGAAGAGGTAAGAGGGTTGGGCTGCGACTCGTGGCCTCTGGATCCAATTAACTTCCATGTTTCCCACCCCCCCCCCCCCCCAGGATAAGAAGGCTTCAACACATGTGTGGAAGGAAACACGATTGTGCCTCGACAATTTGGCTTGATCACATCATTCTGCAAAAACAAAACCGTTGCCATTGTGGCTGACGTGTATCAGTGTCCGTGACGCCTTCGCGATGGCGTGGTTGAAGAGACGATTTCTACCACTGAGTTGCAGATCATTTGCTGTGGGGCTTGCAAGTGTAGTTCGTACACGTACAGCTCCTTTTGTCCATCGATTGCTGGATGAAGCCCCCCTCCCCCTCTCCAGGTTGGGCGGGTCATTTGGGGGGGGGTTATTTGACCATACTTCACCACGCTGGTCAATGGGGTTGGTGAAGGCGGGAAACACTTTTTTTTGTATGCCTGGTAGCACATTTACAATGTTGGAAATATAAATATCTGGGGGAAAAACACAAACGCACTTTTTAAAAACAAAGAATGGTATACATTTGAAAAGAAATGCACATTTAGTATATCATTATTTATCAAAGAAAGCCCCTAAACATGCAACGCGCTGCAAAGCCGGTGGATGTCTTAACCTGTAAAAAATATCAAAGCACTACGATTACGCGTTTTAGTAAATAAGTTAACAGCGTGTCTTTATACAAATATAGTGCCCCTTTGAGTCGTGAATACTGCCCGTCCTCGGTGTGCCCACAGCTGGACCGAGCCACAAGGACGCCACAGTCCGATGTTTATTTATTACTCTCCAAACACACTGTGACTCAAACTCATAAATGGCAATTTATTCCGGGATGTTTGGCCCAAGCAGAATGAACCCACTGTGGCTTTGCTGGCCCAGATAGGGGGGGCAAGATATACTAACACGCCCTCCGAGGCTGCCAATGAACACACACGACACGTTTAAGAAATGCCTCATGTCTGCTGCTGTGGGTGTGTCTGTGCATTTACCATTCATTAGGTTGTCCCCCCATCCCCTATCAATATGCATCAGTTGCTCATAGGTTTGTTGTATTGATATCCATAAGACTCGTTTCCAACAGCTATTGTTAATAGATGTTTATAATTAATACGCGTTGTAGTTGAAGTTCTCAATTAAAGGCTTACTATAGTTAAGTGATATTTGTAGGTGCATTTCTGGTAATAGTTTTACGCCAAATTAAAAGGTGCCCCTTATGTGTGCCGCGTGTGTGGAAGCGGTGGCACGGTGGTTCGGGCCCCTGTGCTCTGAAACCAGCGACATGATTTGGGTCCTGGCCTACGACGAATATCAGTGATATCTGAACCGGTCCTGGGCTCTCTCCAACCTTCATCAACCCGCACTGACCGGCGTGGTGAAGTATGGTCAAACGACCCTCATGACCGACACAGCTGCAGGACTTCATATTCTTTGGATCTTTCGGTAAAGTCACGTAGATAGAAAAAATAAAAGTAAACAAAATAAAAACTACGACGTTTCGATCACAACACAAGCGATCGTCATCAGGAGGAAAAGGGGGGGAAGGCCACTGAAGGCAAGCTGTTTTAAAGGTTTAAAAATGGGCGTGGCACGAGCGTCCTGGTCTCAGAACGAAGTGGGCGGGGCTGTACATTAGAATTGTTGATCTTTGTGCGTGCAATATTATCAACAACGCTGCGTTGACATGTTGCTTATGTTGAGCTGCTAGCCACAAGGGTTGATGTGAGGCCTGAAACCTGTGAGCTCTTTGGTTTCACAATGTCATGAGCAACGTGAGCTGCTGTGTTGCGTGCTTTTTTATGCGATCTCACACCAAAGCATTCAGGCGAGTTAAATGGGCTGACTGAGCATGTTTGTAGCTATCTTATCGTGTTCTGTGTTTACAGAGCTCCTTAGCTCAAGACGCTCTATAAATATATAAAGAATGTGTAACTACATTCTGGTGGCGTGTGTCAGAGTGCTCTGTGCAGTCAGTGTTGAGTTCAGAGGATTGAGTAATGGGTGATCTCATGTGTAGTGAACTCATAGTGTCTGTCTGGTTACCAATAACCTCACAGTGTTCACTTAAGCGGGCTCGTCTAAGGGACTAAAAACGGAAAAGTTTGTCCGCATGAAGTGCAGTACTGTATACGTTTTGTTTTCTAGTTCACCAAGCTAATCTCCTTGCAGACTCGTGTTGTATAACGGCGTGTGTGTAAGAAAAGCCTCACTGCTGATATGAGACCCAGACGGTAAGACCATTCCAGCATTTGCCTGCTTAAACAAACTCTGTTATGAAACATTGGTCTGGAAGGTCCATTAGCTGATAAATAAGGAGGGGGGGAACATATTTCTTTTCATGCAGCTAGTTGGACTTTTGACTTTTTTCTTGGAACGCACAATGTCCTGCAACTTTGTGTAAGGAGTTCTGAGGGATATAGAGTGAAAGGGCAATGCACGACCAACACCCCTGTGTTTAATGCAGGATTACGCGGTCTGGTGTGGTGGTGGATAATTGAGATCGGTTGGGAATAATGAACGAATGTTAGGGGAGGGCAGTTATACTCTCTGCTCTTTCATTACTATGCCAAGGGCCAAATTGAGTGAAAATTACAAATGCGGAGGCTTCGAGAGGCACGCTTCCGCACCCTTAGGATTTTTATTCTTCACTTTCTAAACTAATCTCCTAAAATCCCCACTAGGTTCAATAGACATGTCATATATTTTTATATATAATAAAAGCCCACAAAACCTCTCAGTCCGCTTGTCACCAGGATAAGCGGACTGAGAAACGAACAGCACGTTCACTTAAGCCTATGCAACACAGACGTCCAATGATTTCAACTGAGACTTCCCAGAATGCCCTACACTCCCCACCCACCCACCCCTATAGTTTGCACTACCTCACTGTGAGCCCCAATATTATGCTATTCATCTTGGGGTTTCGCCTCTCTTGCCAGCGGCTGCTTAATGCTTGCTCAAGTTCCATTGGCTCACATCTGGCTGCCCTGGCGGCAGTTGAGGTGGAGCTGGGGAGGTCCCCAGCCTCGTGTGCAGGGCGCTCGCTGCTAACTCCCTGACGCCGGCTCATTCTGCCAAATTCGAAGAGAAGTTTTCCACGCTCGCTTTGACACCAGTTGCACAGTCTCAGAGCACCGGGATATTTATTTTAAAAAAAAACCCTAAAAAGATCCAACGCCTATAGCCCTTCACTTGCGTAAGAGACGCATCACCTGATGTTCTGTGGGGAGTCTCTTGTGTAATTTGTAAAGTGAAGTTGGAGGGCACTGCTGGGATTGTCACCTGCCATCAAGGCGAAAAACCGAGCCGCGTCAACATCTCAAACGAAGGATATCGCCTGGACCGCCAATCACTCCGCCTCGAGAAGTGAACTAAGTATTTCGTGACTCATCCTTCAACCGCTGTCGGGTTTTTTTTTTCTGCGTGCCCAAAGGACCACGACCACCGAGACAGCAACCTCGACATTTCATCGGCCAAATTCCCGCAGTGGCCGTGAGGCAGGAAGAAGACGTGAGAGATGATGGGTCACCTGTCCTCTCCGCCCTCGCCGTCCACCCCCCGAGGCCCCGTGGTGCGGCGCGTGGTGAAGCTGCTCAGGCGGTACCGCTCGGCGGCCGCCGTCACCCTGCTCATCCTCGTGGCGCAGAGCGTGGCCGTGTGGAGGTTCGGCAGCGTGCAGGAGCTGGGGCACCCGGAGCAGCCGTGGGGGGGCAGGGCCGGGCGGCGCAGTCGGGCACAGCTGCCCGACGCCGACGAGCTGCTTCCACGTAGCCACGTACGTGCGTGTGTGTGTCACTGTGTGTGTGTGTGTCACTGTGTGTGTGTCACTGTGTGTGTGTGTGTCACTGTGTGTGTGTGTCACTCTGTGTGTGTGTGTCAGTCTGTGTGTGTGTGTCACTGTGTGTGTGTGTCACTGTGTGTGTGTCACTCTGTGTGTGTGTCACTGTGTGTGTGTGTCACTCTGTGTGTGTGTCAGTGTCACTGTGTGTGTGTGTCACTGTGTGTGTGTGTCACTCTGTGTGTGTGTGTCAGTGTCACTGTGTGTGTGTGTCACTGTGTGTGTGTGTGTGTGTCACTGTGTGTGTGTCACTGTGTGTGTGTGTCACTGTGTGTGTGTCACTGTGTGTGTGTGTGTCACTGTGTGTGTGTCCTGTGTGTCACTGTGTGTGTCACTGTGTGTGTGTCACTGTGTGTGTGTGTCACTGTGTGTGTGTGTGTCACTGTGTGTGTGTGTCACTGTGTGTGTGTCACTGTGTGTGTGTGTCACTGTGTGTGTGTGTCACTGTGTGTCACTGTGTGTGTGTCACGGTGTGTGTGTGTCACTGTGTGTGTGTGTGTCACTGTGTGTGTGTGTGTCACTGTGTGTCACTGTGTGTGTGTCACTGTGTGTGTGTGTCACTGTGTGTGTGTCACTGTGTGTGTGTGTGTCACTGTGTGTGTGTGTCACTGTGTGTGTGTGTCACTGTGTGTGTGTCACTGTGTGTGTCACTGTGTGTGTGTCACTGTGTGTGTGTGTCACTGTGTGTGTGTCACTGTGTGTGTGTGTGTCACTGTGTGTGTGTGTCACTCTGTGTGTGTGTGTCACTGTGTGTGTGTGTGTCACTCTGTGTGTGTCACCGTGGGGAGCGGTGGTGTAGCGGTTAGCGCTAAGAATCCGGTGACCCGAGTTCGATTCCCGCTCACGGCCAACACCGGTGGCGATTTTCTGGGCCTCCTCTAGGTCGACTCAGCCTCAAATGAGTACCTGGTGCGATGTGTAAGCGTCGCCACTGGGGAGACAAAGGCGGACGGGCGTGGTGCCGGCCACCCACCCCCTCGTGTGCCATGCCGGCCTTCATAGGTCCTCCTCGCTAACAGCACTTGCCCCTAAACTCTGATAAGGCTATACGGGTGATCTTTGTCTTTGTGTGTCACGATATGCATGCCCAAAGTGGGGCTTGAACCCACGCGCCCTGAGGTTAAGAGTCTCGTGCTCTGAGCTCGCCGGGAACTGCTGTGATTGTCGCGCACTGCGAGTTCAATTCCCCGCTCACACAGCTGACGTCAGTGACGAGTGATATGTGAACCCCGTTGAGTGCCTCTCCGAGGTCGACTCAGCCTCAAACGAGTACCTGGTGCGCTGTACAATCAACACCAGCAGTGTGCAGACAAAGGCAGCCGGGTGTAGTCCTGGCCACAACGCCCCATTGTTGCGTAAACTGGCCCCAAGTGGTGCTCGTTAACAGGGCTTGCCCCAGCAGTCTGAATGACTACACGGGGGTCTTTGTGAGTGTGCGAAATAACTGGAAACTCCAGGAACAACTCAAATATTTAAGTGCCATTATTCCCACCCACCCCCCAACAAAGATTACTCACATTGTAAGATATACAAAATATATATAACCTGTTTTAAAAAAGTATTTCATACAAGGTAGAACAAATAGATGAACGTTGCAGTGAATGAGAAGGGAAACATTGTATCCTCTTGAGTGAAGTCGTTTTTTTTCTCCCCCTAATTGGGACCCCAGTGGAGGTAGTCCCGCGGCTCACGACCACATTAATCAGCGCAGAGAGGCGTGGGCAGGGGCCCCCACTGAGATCGAGGCTACAGTAGAGGCTCTCAATGGGGATGGGCGAGAGGTAGAAAAAACGTGACCAATCATCACTTTTTAGGTCGATAAAAAATGTTTTTTTTACCGCTCTTTGGGAAATCCGCAATGGTTGTGCCATTGAGAGTTTGCGTAGGTGTGTTGAACTTCTTTCGCACAGTACCTAGCTAAACTATGGCATATAGTGGACACCCTTTTATCTGAGCAGATGCGTGTAGCGTTTGCGGCAGATCCTATCACCTGTGTTCACCCACAAACAAACCTCCGGTTTTAATCGGGCCGCTAAGAGGATAATAGTGTAATGTAGCTCTCAGAGACACCGTCTTGTTCAGTTATCTGTATATTTATTGTGAATAAAGTCCGCCGACTCACTGATAATGAAACGAGTAACCGCGAGTTGACTATTTTCAGCTGGGTAACTTCTGTGACTCTACGCGACGCTCCCCATGAAGTCGGCTGGCTAGACAGGAGCGGACGCGTAGTAGTCACGGAGACAATATTAACTTTCGCCTTCCAAGACTACAAGGTGCCCGATCCAAGATGATGAAGACGACCCACTCCAAGATGACGGTGGCGGCGATGACAGTTTCTTGATTCTCCCACAGCAGCCCAGAGCCCCGTTTCACGCCGCCTTTTATCCACTCCCCGACCGGCCACGCCCCATTTCCCGAACACTCTCTCACCTCATCTGGGCCTGTCTGGGCCTGTCTCAATTATTATTTACGACCACTTAGGTGCCGTGCTTATCCTTACGCGACCCTGTCAGTGCCCGTCACGTCAATTAGTAACCACGGCCACGAGGAGCCGTACTGTCCTGACAATAGGACGAGTTGGCGCAACTTTATGGATTGCTCTTATCAGCACGAAGGGTCAGATAATACGATGGATCGTTCACCTCTTTTGGGTCATTACTCTCATCTGCGTAATGGCGTAGTTGAAGAAACGTTCAAATCAGTTCACATTGCAAACTTGTATTTTAACTAGCATTAGGGTTTTAGCAGCTGGCTGTCATTGCCTCGCCGAGAGAGACAGCTTGTATTTGAGAAACAAACCTCGCTGAACCAATGCCGTACAATTCACGCACTCTCCAAATTGCCGTGTGGCTGATGTGGTACGCGTTAAAAGACTTTCTATTTTTACGTGGAGGTTCAGGGTTAGGATTAGGGGTGTAGGGACAGGGTTAGGGTCAGGCCTGTCATCCTGGTCACTTAATCATCACGTTCGTAGTTCTGCCACACAGTCGAGATGAGGTGACAGCGACGGGCAGCTCGAACATGCACTTGCGACTTTGCGCGCTTGCACAAGAAGGCCTTAAAAGAGGTATTTTTTTGGGGTTAGATCGCGTAAATATAAATGGTGCCGTTAAACCCGGCACCACCCGTCTCGGTTCTGCCTCTGGCTTGTTGCCACCAAAAAATGTGACATTAACAATGAGCATCGAGAATTTTGTATGCAATGCGTTGTGCATGGGGTTAGAGTGGTGGTGCAGCAGTTAGCATACCATGCAAGCCGGGTTCAATTCCCGGGTATGGCTATTTTCAGTGGCGACTGATCTCTGAGCTGGTCTTGGGACCCACTTAACAAACACGCACATCGGGCAGTACAGAAAAATCTAGAGTTATACTGTACGTCTATGCTCCCACACCTATGTTCCCCGCCTTTGCCAACTTACACAGACCAGCGTGAAGTATGGTCAAATAACCCCCATGACCCAAACAAAGAGCTGTAGATTAAATATACTTGTTTACAATATCCAGTGTGTATATATTTTACACCCTATAATGTGGTCAAAATATAAATGTGGAAGTGCCACTATAAACCTACTCTTCCTGCAGCCCATGTTCAATGCCATTTCATTGCCGTCTGCAGAAACATCGTGGTGTAGGAATATGAACCGCTCTGATAAGTGCCGGTGTGGCGCGCCATCATAAACCCGCCCCATTTAGACCACTGATTTGTGCTGTGTATTGGGATTTTCAAGGTGGGGCATTGCATGGCTTAAGCTCGCTTTGAAAATCAGCGAATGAGTTAGCAATGGTGAGACTTGTAAGAGACACTGTTTATGGTGTTCCCATCTGCGCGGCATATCATGTATGTACGGTGTGTTATTCTTCTGTCGCACGGTACGTAGCCGACTGTGCTAATCAGAGGTGCGGCGGGGGGGGGGACTACTAAACACCAAAATCAGTTCTAAAGAAATTAGTTTTCAATCTAGATTTAAAAGTGGACAGCACCAGCGGCTTTCCTAATATCGAAAGGAAGAACGTTCCAGACGGCCGCAGACGCCTCGGAGCGTAGCGGTCCCCAACGAGACGCCGGCAAGCGATCCTATAACCCGCTCCCGCCACCACGCTGAGAGTAGCGTGGTCCGTGTCAACCGGGGGCCCGCCCAGGGGTCGTCTCCAATGTCGTCGATGGGTTTTTTCCGGCATATCGCTCCAGTACAGCACAGTGCTTTGGGCTTGCCAGAGGAGCCTGGCATCCCAGGATTCCACTTGCCAAATAGCTTTTTTTTGGGAGCGAAGGCAAACTTTGCTCAGTGTTTCCATTTCCTGCAGTTGGAATGCTCGCGAAGATGTATGTACGCATGTGTGTACGTTGGACTTCATTGGCACCATACGTTGCCAACCATGCTGATCAGAAATCGGGAAGATAGCGATTATAGAAATTTAAAAAAAATTACGTACAGAGTTGCATTGTATGGCACTAAGAACAGGATTCAGATATTAATGTGGAACACGTTAAACTTTACACTTTCATGAAAGTGTGCTGTTATCATGTTTTGTAACAGTTCAACAATTTTGTTTTTGTAGGACTACAACGCTTTGTATCTACCAAGTGAGCGTTTCAAGAGCAATATCAAAGAAAACGTTAAACAGTTAGACAACATGTCTTCGTTGGAGACAAAGTACTCCTCGTGGCAAAACCTGGGAAATGAGATTGCAGTGAAAAATGAAATTGAAAAGAAAATATTGTGGAACGCTAGAGCAGCAAACGGCATCGCGCGCAAGGGGAACATCTCGAGCAAGCTGTGGAGTCAGCACCATCAGAAAAGCCTTGGCAGCATACACGGCATCAAAGCTTCGAAATTTGTACAAAAGGATATCAAGACTCACGGCGGCTTGACGTCGAACAATATCAAGGCGGTAATGGTCGGCGGAAATTCGCTGCGACAAAACAGGGCTAAAACCAAGGCTTCAACTGAAGAGTCTCAGGCTCTCCCGCAGCCAATCTCCGCCACTCCGTGCAAGATCGTGGAAGCAGACGCCCTGTCGGCCATGTCCCGGGCACAGAGCCGTCAGTGCAAGGAGGAGCTGGCCGCTGTCGTCTGCCTCCACCAACAAGGACGCCTCATGCCCGAGGAGTTGCCGCGAACGTGTCCTCTTAAAGGTAGGCAAGAGAGGCTGCTGCACGCCACCGCTGCGCCTGCTGCCACTGCTGCGCCCGACTGGTCAAGGAGTCGTAGTGCCCTCCACCGTGGCAGCTCACTTGCCGCAGTTGGCTGCGCTGCCTCTGCAGCAAGAGGCACATGTAACATCTCGATCTGGCGCGGCCTGCTGTGACACGGCCAGGTGTGACGCAGTCAGGTGTGATGCGCACAGGTTTGATGAGGCCAGATTTTATGAGCACAGGTGTGATGAGGCCAGGTGGCAGGGCCAGGCGTGATGTGGCCAGGTGTGATGCCAGGTGTGACGCAGCCAGGTGACAGGGCCATGCGTGATGTGGCCAGGTGTGATGCCAGGTGTGATGCAGCCAGGTGTGATGCAGCCAGGTGACAGGGCCAGGTGTGATGAGGCCAGGTGACAGGGTCAGGTGTGATGAGGCCAGGTGTGACGTGGCCAAGTATGATGAGGCCTGGTGCGGTTCTAAGGTTCAATTTGGTGCATTTTCTCAAATTTTTCACTTTTTAGCGTCCACGGGTTTGTTTTATACCCAAACTTCTAAAGCTGTTCATATATCAACTCCATGCACAGTCGTAGTAGCAGCTGAAACAAAGCATTGACGGTGAAAAGTTTTAAATACAGTTCCGAAGCATAAGCCATGAGTCAACATTTTCGTTTTTTGCCCCGAGCCCCACATGTGACAAGTTGAGCGGACTTGTGTAAATACAGGACAGTGCTCTCGGCTGTGCCACATGTGAATGTTGCGTTCGTGCGGCAAGTCACCTAACCCCCGACGGACTGCCAACATGCCGTTTCACTCGTTGCGGTAGGCGTAGCTGTGAAAATAACTCGTGAAATGATAAATGGGCTCTCACGGCAATGCCACAAAAGCCCTCCGGATCGACGGATTGTTTTAATGCTGTTATGATAATAATCACAGCCACATGTAGCTAAGCCATTCCCCCCACCCCAATGTCACTTATTTGAAATATGAAATCCAGTGGGGCTCAGGAGGGTAACGCAAAATAGGAAACATCACCAGTTGGTTTCTTTTTAAATTAACTGTGTTACTGTTCATACGCGTACAAACCTCAGCGAGTAGAGTACTGCAATTTAGTTGGATTGTCTGTAGCGGTTAGATTCGCACCGGCTACATCGTTTATGAACGTTCGCGCTCTGAATGAGATGAGTTCATATTTGTTGAACGTCTCTTGGCTTTTCTTCGCTGTCTCTGTGCAGTCTTCATGGCTCTGTGTCTGTGTTGTCTTCACAGTTGTGCCTCTGTGTTGTCTTCATGGCTGTGTTATCTCTTGTGCACAGAGTGGGCCAGATGTCTTGGACCACCCTGTCATTCTCTAAAATTGAATATTTTTTTAAAGTAAGGTTTATTTAAAACATAAATGAATAATGCAAAGGAAAAAAATGTTAGGGGTCAATTAATTGGGGGTCACAAGACATCTGAACCACCCAGCACAATGTCCCCCTGTCTTCACGTCCGTGTCCGTGTGAAGTCCCCTATCTTCACCGCTCCGTCTCTGTGCGGTCTCCACGGCTGCGCGTGGTCTCTGTGCTGTCCCCCCGTCTGCGGTGTCCGTGTAGAGAAGAAGCCTGGGGTCAGCGTGCAGTGGCTGCAGGAGGAGGCGGCTCGCGCGGCGCTCCCGGCGAAGAGGACGAGGCCGGCAGCGGCGGGGGAGGCAGCCTCCTCATCTCCGGTCCGCGTCGCCTTCGTGCTCGCGGTGCACGGACGCGCCTCCCGGCAGCTGCTGCAGATGTTCCGCGCGATCTACCACGCGTCGCACTTCTACTACATCCACGTGGACAAGGCGAGCCGAGTGCCACTCTGGGGTGGTTTTTTGTTGTCTCTCTCTCTCACTCACAATGCACGGCCCCCTGTCCTCCGCGGTACAGAGACGAGTTGGTGACACTGCTGTGTTGGCAGCGTGGCGCACGAGCACAAATTACCGTGACAGACACTCTCAACACGCAACCGTCGCAAACGCTGTGTGGCATTACACACAGCGTTTTGGGGTAATGACCTTTCATCACAGCACAGCATCTATTTATTTATTTGCACATTTATGTGCTATAAATAAATGATTTCCTTTGAAGCGCGGTGGGTTTACGAATGGTGCAAAAGAAGTTCAACATTTGTACGTAAAAAAAATTACGTAAAATATATTTTTCCGTGAAACATAACGGGAGGTGTTACTGTTTGTTGCAGCGTTCGAATTACCTCTACAAGCAGGTGCTGGGACTTGCCCAGCGCTACGAGAACGTCCGCGTGACGTCCTGGCGCATGTCGACCATCTGGGGGGGCGCCAGCCTCCTCACCATGTACCTTCGCGCCATGTCTGATCTGATGGCCATGGACGACTGGCCGTGGGACTTTTTCATCAACCTCAGTGGCTCCGACTACCCGATTCGGTTCGTACGGCGCCGTGCGTCGTCTCGTTTTGAGCGGTACACGCGCACGCGCCTCTGTCCCGTGGTTGCGTAATGAAACTCTGAAATGTCAAGAGGCCAGCAAAAAGCCAGTTTTAAATCAATGGATTGATTTTTGTTTTTGATATGTAAAACACAGATGCTGAGCACAGGCCAAAAAAGCACAACATGTCAAGCGGCCAGCAATAAACAGCAAAGATAAGAGTGTAACACATTTCTTCATGTGAACAATGTACATTGATGCAGTAGTAGTAGTAGTAAACCTTGACGTGGTGGACCTCAATCTCACGTTACAAAGCGAATTACCAACCCGAGTTTAAATCGAGGCCAAGGCTCACAACATTCAGAGTTTGAGGTTCAAAAGCCTAATCCAAAACAGCCCCATTTAGGGGCCAACATTTGATTGTTAGATATCTTGGGGAAACCAGGGGAGCAGCCCACGTGGGACTTAATGTGTTGAGTCTGAGCCCAAGGGAGAATTTGAACCGTGTATGTTTTATTGTCCACTGGAGGCCATTGTTGTCCCGAGCGCAAGTTTTAGTTCACAGGATGCCGTAGACGCCAGCATTATTACGGCGCTCTGGCTATACCAGCACATTTGGGAGTCGTTTACTTTATACGGTGCACAGGGGACAGGGTTTTTTTGTTGATGCGTGATTACATATTTTTTTTATCAACTTGAGATTTGTATTTTTGTGAGCAGAACTACGGTTCGTGAAACATCTTCTCGGTGAGATCTTTCCTGATCGACGATTGTTTTAAAAGTTGAGTCTGAATCCCAGGTACACATCATTAATCTTTATAGTTATGGTGACAGTAAGGCTTGCCATTTGTTTATATACAGAAACTTGCCTGCAGTGTATTATGCTTGGTAAGGTATAGGTGCATTTACTTAGGTTGTTATGTCTATAATAGAGGTTTATGGGTTAGAGTGCGTAAATGTGAATGTGTTGTTAAACCCGCGTCCACCCGACACAGCCAATTAGTCAAGTTTGTCACGTAACCGAAACATGCCAATTCCTTACTAGTCCGGCACACCGGTGTGTTAGGGAGCAAACCCACAACATTTACGATTGTAAATATAAATGTTGTTACTAATTGGCTGTGTCGGGTGGTCTGTTTACTGCATTAAAATCCAGTGTGTAATGTATAACTGTAGAACGATCAGTGGATGGCTTTCATTGTTCTCCGAGTGGTTTGCCAATAGGAGTTTAACCTCTTAGTTGTATCGGACATAATTACATTTGAACAAAAGGGAATGGTGCCTCCTACCTAGTATGGCAGGCAGTCTCTTTTGACTTCTCATGAAGAGACTTGCATTCTCTTCTCCCACAGTTCAGTATGTCCACTCCTGTTGGCTGGCCACCAGTCTATGCCCGTTGTGGTCCATAGCTGAACAGGCCTATGAGGGTAAAATGTATCCATGTTACATCTCAGTCTGTAGACAGCACAACGCACTCTCGGCCTGTTGGCCAAATGCCCGAGCTTCAGCTCTCGTGTGTAAAAGGTGAGGCAACACAGTACAGTACAACAAAATACTATGACGAACTGTCTTGGTGGATTGTGGGAGAATGAACAGACATTGAGTAAGTGAAGGAGGCATTTGTAGCAGTGCTGAATGATGCGCATCAACCGTTGATTTGAAATCGTGTAAATATCAAATGTTATACATTGAATCAGTCTGCTTATGTTTTAAAATATGACGAATGTTTTATGCTGCTTTTTTTACATTTTTTTTTAGAAGCAATAATGAACTGGTCGCCTTCCTCACCAAATACAAAGACAAGAATTTCCTTAAATCTCATGGTCGAGAAACTGAAAAGTAAGTGTGTTGATGATCATTATTCATACAACTATTCCTTTGGTCAAACGCCTTACACTTCACATAGTAGAGTATATTGCATACCTGTCAACAGGTAAACCATACGGTTTACCCGTATTGCCCAATTTGGGCAAACAATTGTTTTTGTCTATTTGTTTGTGTTTCTCCCTTGTGATGGGACTTTGTAGGTAGGCACTGATAGGGGGTTGCCAGGTATGATCTTGTTTTGTACATATTAATTTAACTTTTTAAAATCTTTTTGTCATCTGTTGCCAAGACAAATTTGAATGGTCCCTTTGACTGAAGATTAGGTTTCTTCATAATGTGCAATATTGTGGATATTATAAACAAATCCGTTGAGTGATATACTGGATTGGCAGTGGTGCAAAAGCACAAATTACAAAAACACAACACGTAAGTGCTTGAGCCATGTACATAGCTGGTAATATGGAATAATTTCTTGTCATTAAATTTCATTGGTTGCAGATGATGTCATCAGAAAACCTAAGAAGGCCCAATTCTCTCTTAAGACATGTTGATGGATACTTTTTTGCAATGTAATTACGTAGCAATCTAGAGCTTACACTGGTTAATTGTAATGTCTGTACGTACTTTATTTTAATGACAGAGATGTAATGTGATATTGAAGTGTAGCTATACCTACATATTTATTAGCAGTGGCATATTTGTTTGATGTCCATTTTAGAGATGAAGTTTTGTAAATAAATGTTATGATTCATGTTGAAAGAATACAGCATGCTGAAAGAACACACATACACTCTCAGTGGCTAGGTACGGACATGTAAACTTGCTGATTTGCTCCACAGGTTCATTAAAAAACAGGGCCTGAACAAAGTGTTCCACGAATGCGATGAACACATGTGGCGCGTAGGAGAACGCAAAATGCCGGCAGGGATTGCCATCGATGGCGGCTCGGACTGGTTTGCGGTCACCCGCCAATTTGTGTCCTACATCATTCACTCCAAATCCCGCCTGGTGTCTCAGCTCAAACAGTTCTACGCTTTCGCCCTGTTACCAGCAGAGGTAATGCACGATCACGTCGACAGCATATTACATTTCGTGCACGTACTCCTTTTAAGACATTTGTTATTTAATTCGAGGTATCAATGGCACGGTGACTTGCGCCCTCCTCTGTGTGGTTATTTTGCGAGAGACCAGTGGTTCTCAAAGTGACCAGCAGTGGTCCGCGACAGTCCTCCAGGTGATTCGCGGGGCTGTGATGCAAATGCAGGTTGATCCGGACAATAATGACAATGTCTATACGTTTTGTTTCCAACATTAATTAACATTTCACTTATGACATTTAATTAAAAAATAAAGTTAAGTAGGCAACCCTGATTAAACTGCCCTAAACCCTAAGATCTAAATGTCTCCCCTAAAAAAAACCTCATAGCTGCGTTAAAAAAGAAAATGTGTTTATGTTCCAGTAATATGAATCATTTTGTCTTACTGGCATTGAAAGAGAGAAGCGAATGCGTTTTGTCACCAGGGGTCGGTGGGCTGGGTGGTCCGCGGAAATGTTTGCATCGGCTGAACGGAGCGGTTCGCGGGCCAAAAAAGTTTGAGAAACACCGTGCGTGCTATACACGAACAACAGCTCTGTTGAATAAACGTTATTTGTTGGCTGTAGTGCGAGCCAATGATACGACGACCACCGTGATTTATGTTGCCGTTTGCAGTCGTTCTTCCACACCTTGCTGGTGAACAGCGAGCATTGTGCCACACTGGTTGACAACAACCTGCGCATGACCAACTGGAATAGAAAGTTGGGCTGCAAGTGCCAGTACAAGCACATCGTGGACTGGTGTGGCTGTTCCCCAAACGATTTCAAGATCCACGACTTGCCAAGATTCCAGGTACGTGCCATTCAATTTAGACGGAGGCTTTTGATGTCCCGTGCTCACAAAGATAAGGATTTTGAATCTCTCGTACCACCTAAATAATCGAAGCTGCATCTCAAAGTATTTTTTCCCCACACCTTCGATCGGCACGGTTGGCTACGTACGATGCGAAATAAGTACTACGTACATACATCTTCCACGTGCTTGAAGAGGGACACGTGGCTCGGAAACGGAAAGCTATTGTAGAAATTCAGCGAGCCGGCATTGTCCTGGTCTGCCCAGCGGCAAGTTTAAGCACCGCGTCCCCGTGATGTCGACCCCCTTCATTCTGATGCAGTGCCAATGTGGTGACGTCTTTCGAGTGAGCTATGGTAGCAAAGCTTGACCATTACTTTACTTTTTTATATCCAAATAACGAAGCTTTTGTCAGAGCCCAGGGCTTGCAGCCCAGGTGTGTATCTGAGAATTGAGAGCAGTTTTATGGGTTGCAGCTTCCTTTAAAATCACAAAGTGTGTGCTATTACTTTTCCACAATTTTTTTTAATGTGCTTCTAAAGGTACATGCACTCTAAGCATGCAGAGAAAGCAGTGCTGTGCTGCCATCTAGATTAAAGTAGTAAATTTTAGTCTTAATTCGCAGACACATTTCTCCATCACATTTTTGTTTTGGCTGAAAGTGAATTAATACGTAGAGGGCTGCAGAGCTTTGGCAATTGTTGGCGTGGGCTCATCGCTTGGCTGCCTTCCAGCTCGTCTCTGGTTCCGAAGCGATTGTGAGATTAAATTCGCACGAACTACGACACGATTTAGCACTAAACATCATTATTTTTTATTACATCAGCAATCAACATTGGTCTATTCTCTTGTCAAATGTGTCACGCGTTTTTAACTCTTAAGCGATTCGTCTAATTACTTGATGAATATTAAGCTTGTGCACCGTCTCTTTCCTTTCCTTTTGTTTGCATTCGCAGCAACTTACACGCCCGACATTTTTTGCCCGTAAATTTGAGGCAGTGGTGAGCCAAGGGGTGCTCACGGGTTTGGACGCGGCTCTGTTCGGAGGGCCGCCGCTGCCGAGCGGACCGTCTCTGCAGGCCTACTGGGAAAATGCGTACGATGAGAGGACGGACTCGTCGGCATCGCTCGGCGACGCCGCCCTCACGATCTACCAGGGCCTCTTCCGCCTCGGCGTCGCTCAAAACGCGCACCAAACACCACGGTCCGGCAGCAGCCTGTGCAGGTGAGATCATTCTCGTCGTCGTCGTCGGCAGCCACGCTGGATGAGGGCCGCCACGGGGTCATCGGCATCCCTCACGGTCCCGCAATGCCGCAATGTCGCAATGTCCGTCTGGCTTGCGCACGTGAGGCGATCCCATTGCTCCTTCTCCACGATGGTCACTCTGTCGGCCATAGGAGATTTAGTGTGTGGAATTTCCGCTAGATTCTCAGGGCCACCAACCTCTATGAGCACGGGCAATAGCTGCTTTGAATACGTTTACATACACTTACACTCTTCGTACTATTGAGTTCTTATTAATAAATAATAATGTGATGACAAAATTTTATGTTTTACTTCAAGATGTATTTATTTCCTCTTGTTTTCACTGCTCTTGTGTCCGCAGCTACGAGCCAGTGGGGCATCCCACAGCTGCCCACGTTTACTTCTCAGCCGACCGATTCCAGGGTATCTTGGTGCAGCAGAGAGCGTCACACTCAGCCTCCCGCCACGAGGAAGTTCTGGAAACCTGGGCGTACCCAAGCAACCACTACAAAGTGTACAACTCCACTCTGTTACCCCGGCTGCAGAAGATGGAGGTGAAAATACACTCACTACCAAGGCTAAAAACTCGACACATTTGTCAATAGCACTGTAGCCTTTAAAGGGAAATATATTTTAGGTGACGTTTTGGGCAATGATCCTTCTTCATGTGCTACGCAGAAGGGGCCATTATTGACGATGGTGTGATGGTGGAAAGCCTGCAAACTGATTCTGAGATGGGGGGGACTTGCACCACCGTCACGAGCTAGTTTGAGTGGGAAATTACTCATACGTTGTTTTCCGCAGGTGGGGACAGACTGGGACCCCAAGGAAAGGGTTTTCAGAAACTTCGGGGGGCTGCTGGGCCCGTGGGAGCAGCCCGTGGCCGTGCAGCACTGGGTGCCGGGGGCTAACGTCACCGTGACGGTGGTGTGGCTGGACCCCGCCGGCGTGATCGCCGCTTCGTACGACGCTCCCGTGCGCGGGGACCTGCTCGTGACCCTGTACCGACCCCCGCTGCGGCTGCCTCTCCGACCAGGGGCCTGGTCCGTCCGCCTGCTCGTTCGCTGGCGCCCCGTGGCGGAGGTGTCGTTCATGGTTTGCCCGTTGGCTTTCTTGGACGGGCAACCGATGACGAAAGGTGAGGTATTTCGTCCGTTAGTTTTTATCACTTATTTTTAACTACGCCTTTTTTTATTACGGTTGTTTAACAAAGGTGAGCCTCGCCGAGTCTCGCGACTTTGTCTCAGGAGGGTCTCGCTAAATGTTTACTGGAGGGGGCCATGATTGAAAACGAATTTCTTTAGCACTGCTTTTTGTGTTTAGTTCGTTGTCCTTCCGCCGCACCTCCAATTAGCACGGTTAGCTACGTACGGTGGGCAAAAAGTTCAACATGCATCTATACATTGCAATAATACCAAGTTACTATTTTGCGAATGACACCACGCGATTTATATCGTCTACTGTGAAGCAGACGGCGCGTATTTTTACGGCTAATATACCCAAGGGTAGTGACTAGGGCTGCCTATGGATTTGAACCGCGAACTTCTGCAACAAGCGGCAACGCCTCTACCGCTGCACATTGAGTGGAGTTGTGCCGCAGTAGTTGGCAGGGACGTGCAGTGCCTAACAATTGATCTGCTGTTGTCGATCGTGCATTCGGCTCTAGTTTTGGCCCCCTTGTGTAAAGGATGTAATTTTGCGACACAAACTGGCGTTTGAAGTTGAACAGTATTTGCATTGTGCTGACTTCTTAACAATTCTTTATCTGCAGAGAAAGCTGCCTATGCGCACATGGGCCCTCCGCAGAACAAGTATTTGGAGCAGAGCTTCCAAGGTCTCAGAAGAGTGCTGAAACTTCCAGTCGAAAACACAGGGCAACAGGAAGCTAATGAACATGCCTTACTCACAGACAAGGCCCTCTGGGCCTGGATTGAGAACCTCATTTCGCGATTTTGGGTGCTGGCTGACACTTGCTCTGTTTCTGAGAGCTCTGTCCGACTGGGTTGCCAATCGTTGCCTCCCTGCAGAAAATCGGTGTGGAGCTCCCATTATCCTGATCCAAAATCTGAACTTGGACCTGTCCAGTTGAATGGCACCATCAGACATTAGCCCGGCCGCACAGCAGTGGCGGCACGAAGCTCTGGGTTCGGGAGGCTATGAAACTCACCTCGCGTTTTCCATTGTCAGGAAAATGCGCGCGGGTGGATTGAGAAAGTGTAACGCGTTGGCAGGAGCTTCCCCCAGAGTTTCTCCACCACCGGATGGACACATTCAGAGTCCGTGCAGCTTTCCAGAACTGGTATCGTGGCTGCTTCTGCCACTGCCACGTTACCATTGGATGCTGCTTGTACTTTTCAATGATCAATTGATCCACCTGCATTGCATCACCTGAGATTGGAAAACCCGTATCGCCACTGCAAAAACGGGAGATTGATAGAAAGAAACAAGGCTCTCCCAACATCAATTTGGTGCCCGGTTTGATGTTCATGACATTTTTTTGTAACAACAAACTATTTCACTTCCTTGTTTTATACCAACAGATTTGTAAAAAAAAACACATTTTCTAATGAAAATGTGTAGATGAGTTTCGTTGTCATCAGCCATGCTCTATCTACCGCTGGATCAAGAGCTCCCCAATCAATTTCCACTCCATGTATTATTACGTCGGTTTGACAACTCCACGCCAGCCGATTTCGACGCTCCATCTCTGCGGTGATGATACTGCTGATTGGAATATGGCAACATGCTGTGGCTATACATCTGCACATCTGCATTGAGCATCCGTTATGCTATACAGGGCAATACAATTAAATGGCTGGGAGCAAAGCAAATCAGATGCTGCCAGCATTGATACCCCCAAGTAGTACTCACGAAGTGATCCTCATTTCATCGACTCCAGAGGAATAAGCTGCTGAGTTGGCCCAAGCAACTGTTTAAGCCCTTAGGGATGGCGTATTTGCAGGCATATACTTTGCGCCATCTTTTTTACGTATGCCACACGTGGAAAAACCATTGGAGGCAGAACCCAATGAAGTGGGTTTTGTGTGGAGCTTCCAAGATATTTCTGCAAAAAGTCAGGAAGCGGCTATCACCTTTATTCGTAACAATTTTACACTGAATCAAGGTACGACTGCATCTTACTATGGCCAGGAAGACCTTAGCAATAGCGAGATTTGAGGCGATTAATTTTCTTTCAAACCTTTTAAACGCAGCGCATTCTTATTTTGGACACCACCATTGCACATTTTGGAGACCTCTCTCGTCTAAAATACGAGTACTGTCAAAAGGCCTGAATCACGATGGAAAAAGGCACAGATGACAGAACGCAAGCCGTTAACTGTGATCGCGACGCGGCTTCAAACTGTGGCACTATAAGTGTGCAAAACCGTACACGTCATTTTTTTTTGTAGTGAACTCATGCCATTTCCTGTATTTTTATTTCTCAAGCACGCATGTCATTGTTTTTACAACATTCCTACGGCCAATTTGGTCCCAATGTGACCACATTCGTCAATGTCTGATCATGACTGTAGCAGTAGAAGCTTGTTGCAAGCAGGGAACGCATGCTATGAAATAAGTTATTCAGATTCAAACTCTATTAGCTATTTTATGAAAGAAAAGTAATATATACCATTGCTCAATATTCTGAAATATTTTGTTAAATTATTGTAAAGTGTCACCTCGCACATATTTTGCGGAAACTCTATTTATAACTTTAAATATTTTTTTAAAACAACTCTGCATTTGTTTTAAAATGTAGACCTAAATATACAAAGCAAGAGCACAACGTTCTGCCGGGAGTGGTGGCCCACACCTGTAGCTTAAGACGTGGGGCTGGTGAGCCCCACGGAGGTGTGATGCCCACCTGTATGATACAGTACAGCAGGTGGGTTGCTGGGCTGTACGTGGCAGAGTTTGAGTTGCAGCGGCGGCGCACGACTTGAGTTTGTGAGCTGGAATCATCGCCTCTGGAATGACGACATTGAAATCTACGCATCCTCGTTGATCAAGGGGCCGTCCATAAATGACGTCACGCACCTAGGGGGGGGGGTCAGACATTTGTGACGATGTGTGACGAGGAGGGGGGGTTTGAGAAATGTAACGTCACATCAAAATGCGCAACTTTAGACAAATATAGACAACACGTTCTACTTAATTAAATAGACGTTTAAATAAATGTTTTCTCCTACAACATCAGAGTGCAGCGGCACATTAAATACGCACTACAATGACACTAGTTTAAAGCGATTTGAAGCATGTTTTATTTTCCAAATGGAAATATGGTTTTGGGGGGGGGGGCAGAGCTTTTGTGACGTCATATTTGAGGAGGGGGGTGTCTGACTTTTTGTGACGCCGAGTGACGAGGGGGGGGGGGTCAAAAATGGTCCAAAATCGCGTGACGTCATTTATGGACGGCCTCCAAGTGCGGTGGCAACTCTGCACGTCACGTTAACAAGAAAGGAACTACATAGCCATTTCAAGGGACTTAATAAGGGCAACGTATTATGCACCTGTGCATATACAGCTTTTAATTACCGTATTAGCCAGATTATGAGTTGCTCTGGAAAGGAAGATGCACCCAAAATGTTGGGGTCGTTTTGAAATATGTTCTGTTTACGTGACAAACCTTACTAATTGGCTGTGTCGGGTGTTGGTGGGTTTAACGACACATTTCTATTTACGTGATCTCACCTAAAAAAAAGACGACATCCCGGGAATTAAAGACGTAAGGGTACAAATACACGCACATAACGTTAGGAAATAAAGAGTGGACGCTGTGCAGAATACCGTGATATGATGAAAAGACGTCTTCCACAAGATAATTGCTTTAAAACAGGAGTCGGAACGCACGCAACATCCGGAGCCGCATGCGGCTCTTTAAAGACTGCTTCGTGACCGTTATTTATTCAGGACCACCATCTCGAATGCACGTGAATTGCGGCTCTTGAAATATTGATGGGTTTTTTTTTCGAATTCGCAAACATGTGGCTCTTCTCGTTATTTTGGTTGCCAATCCTTACCCTAAAATGAGGAGAGATTTATTCTGGAAGATACTTCTGAACGAGATGAAAATGTGTCTGAAGGAAGGTAATGTTTCACCGATATTACAAAACAGTTTTGTCACAAATACGTGGCTACATATGGAACTATATGTCGGATAATACGTTAACTGATGCATAATACCATTGGAAACTCCTTTGCCAGTAGCAAAATATAATTGTTTTTTTACCCTTTTATCTGGCAACAAAACTGACACCTTTTTTACAAGGAGTCATGTTTGCATTGACCACAATACCTGTGGCCGGAATGCAAACAAAAAACACAACTCTGATAATGTGTGCACTGTCCTTGAAATTGATTGGTCCACACCCGAGACTAGGCTCTCAGAAAAGCTGTCTCGGGTGTGGACCAATCAATTTGAAGGACAGTGCCTACATGATCAGAGTTGTGTTTTTTGTTTGCATTCCGACCGCAGGTATTGTGGTCAATGCAAACATGACTCTTTGTATAAACGGTGTCAGTTTTGTTGCCAGATAAAAGGGTAGAAAAACAATTATCATGATGCATAATACATTGCTCAAAATACGTTGTCCAATTAATTAACCACTGTACATCTCCTACAATTAGAAAACCGAATGAACAATTAACAATTCCCCAAAAAGCAGAATGAGCTTGCATTGAATTACGGTGCAGTTTCATCAAAGCATATTACTCCTACTTTACGAAGTAGTTTGACGTTTCTTATTGCACAATGTTACTTTGATTTTAGAATATTATATTCTCAAACCTTAAACGTTCTACTTTGCTTCATCTCAGCCGTGTGAAACTGACCAAAGCGATTGCGTTGAGAGTGCGAGGCATGTGAATAAGGCGTAGGAGTGTTTGTCGTTCGATTGGTGCTCGAATGATAATAAAAAAATGACTAAATTTAAATATTACAAGATTGCGATTTTTACAACTATTAAGGGATTTAGACTCTGACTGGTATGGGAATAGTTATATAATGGTTAGTTTATGGTTAGGAATAGACCTATGTTAAACACCGATTTTGGGAACTGACTGATTCCAAGATATAGTTATTTTTCCGATAGGGAGTGACTTGGTTAAGATTGCATGCTGGGTTTCCAAAGGGCTTTCAATATTCTCCATAACACTAACACATTTTGCACCATTAAGCGTTTTGAAATAGCACACATTGGATTTGTGGAGTATAATATGTTACCATAGTGATAATGATTCTCTATGTTAAGGGCATAAAACCAATTGCCATGCGAGGAAAACCTCCATGACATTAAACAAAACACAATAACATCAAACAAATATATATTTTATTATTATTATTACAATCAGAATAATTGACAGCTCTTTGTTAATCCAGTGTTCACGAAGCCTCCCCCACGTCGTGTCGGTCATGGGGATTGTTTGACCATACTTCACCACGCTGGCGAGCGTGGGTTGGCAAACGGGATGGGGTGCAGGACCAGTTCAGATATCACCACCGACGATACCCGTGGCCAGGAATCGAACTCGGGTCGCCGGGTTGATAGCGCAGAGCGCTTGACCATTGTGCCACCATCCCCTCCCCTGTTTTCGTTATAGTAAATGTTAAATAAATAGTTATCCAATGAATGCACTAAAGTTGCAAATTATGATTTGGGTTTTGGTCTTCACTGTGATAGGCAGCACGCGACGTTAATCAATCTCGAGACGGTGAACGGGTATCTCCTATGTCACGTGATTTGAAAAGGTGTGCATGCTTCCAACAGGTTCCATGAACATCTCTGATATATAATTTCGCATGAGATCAACAACGCCAAGTTTAACGGAACGACGTGCGAAACCCAATCAATGTCGAAGTATTTGCAATACTGTGAACATTCTTTTGGAAATAAAACATTCCTTGCAATTAAAATGTTTATGTGCAAATCTCATTCTCTTGTACCGTACAGCTGGATGCCTACCTACCATTGACCTTAATACACAAGTATTTGTGCTGCTACGGTACTGTATGAATCATCTGCAGTTGATGTGGCGCTAGAAACATTATACAACCACAGTTATATAATCTTAAAGTGTTGGCAATGCTGCACAGATAAAAAGACAAAAACATTCATCAGTGACACTGTGCCCTTAAAAGCCAAAAAAGGAAGAGACGATGTTTTAGGGTAGTGTTCTTGATGAATGTGTTGAGTTTTTAATCTTAATTCAGGCATTATATGCTTTATTCTCTTTTTGCAGCATACAACAATTTTAAAGTAGAATAAAATAAAAGCAGTAACCATAAAAAGACTTACAAATTTCATACTTTCAGAATAAAGTCTCTATTAACATAGAATTTACAGTTGCCCATCACATTTATGTGCAGGACTATAGCTTTTTGTTCCATAAACCTTTCAGATCTTAAAAATACTCTCGTTCCTATGCCAGGCGATGGCAGTCTGCGACCGATAAATCAACTGCTGGCGAAAAGCAGCAGTTTCTGTTGCAATGTTCGAGGGAATAATGTATGTGTTTGCAGAAGCTGGTTTCTGCTCACTAGAAAACAGCGTATGGTGCAGACAATATCTGATGCACACACTGCAAACAGAATGGCTCTGCAAGGAGGAAAGTTTTCCACTTTTCTCCAGCAGTACCGGATCGTGACACAACAATAAAAAATAAAGTGATGTTTAGTTTCATATACCATCGCTCAAGCAAATGTGCTTCTCACAATCGCTGATGAACGACAGAAAAGCTGGAAAGCAGCCAGGTAGCGAGCCGGTACGAGCAATTTCCCAACCTCTGTAGCCCTCTAGATACGAATATGTTTTCAATCAATTAATGTGAATGTTTATCCATGTGGGAGGAATCCAAAGCACCCAAAGAAAAGCCACGCGTGCGAGTGGGAAAATACTCCATCCGACACAGAAGGGACAGATCATATTTGTCCACACTGTGCTGTACCGCTTTCTCCTGGCGAGTGAGCGTATGGCACTTCGATATGAAAGGTGTGTGGCCAGCTCTTTGTAAAAAGACTGCTGGATATGAAAGCCTCCCCAAGCATTGTCAGCCATGGGGGTTGTATGACCGTACTTACTGGACAGCTATGAAAAAGAGCTTCACAAGCTCATCGGATTCCTCCAGGAGAGATACAGATTTTGGCTTCACCGCGCTGACCAGGACCAGTTATCATAGAATTCACAGCTGCTGGTGTGAGCCGTGGATGGGAATCAAACTCAGGTTATCGGCCGGGGCTCATATCACAGTGTGATAATTATTGCACCATCCCCAATATAATACACTCTTACGATACCTGTTTCAGATGCCATACTCTCTGCTCAGGTTACAGTGCGCGGCACCTTTATTTAACAGAGATGTGAGAAAAAAAAAACCTGTTTCAATAGCGGACCCACAGAAAAGTTCATGACATTCAATATTTGAGTAGTACACACATATACGTAGCAAACATTGTTTGCATGACGGATCAAATCATTAATATACAGTCCAGGGTATTTCAGCGATGTTGCCAGCACATGAGCGTTCGGTAACTTCTAAAGTATAAAAGCTGCCACGGCAAACGCATTTACCAATAAACGGATCGCACAGCAACGGCGTGATCCAAAACGGTTGTCAGGCCCGGCTTGACCTCAGCCTCGCCACACGCCGGACAGCAGATTGACACTTGAGCAAGAGGTGGCAGTGTGTGCAGAGCTTTGTGGAGAGCAAATCCCCAATCACTGTGCTGTAGTGATGACCGTACTTTTTTTTATCTTACTGGAGCCAGCTGGCAAGGCAGAAATACAAAACATGAGCATTTGAGCCAGCGAAATCCCTCACCATATCCCCAAAACCTCTAGTATCTGAGAGGTCTTGGATGCCACGGTTGCAAGATGTTAACTACCTCGCTTGGTATACAGGAGGTTGTGGGTTCGATCCCGACCCTGTGACGCCCTCTAGATATTTGGAGCTTGCAAGTCTCTCTCCCCGTGGTCGTGTGGATTTTTCTCCGAAACGTCGTACTCAACATTTTAAATGATGTTGATTCACTCTTCAACACATCGGTTGTCGGGTGGTGGAGGGTTATGACACCTTTATAAATAACGCGATCTAACCCAAAAAAAACCTTTAAAAAATGATTGGTCGCGAAAGCCTACGTGTTAAACTTTTCTCCGGGTGTTTGCTTCCAAATTTAGAATCAGGGTGCGTTTAGCGTATTTGGCTGCCATAGATTTCCACGTGATAAGCCACTTCGTTGAGCTATCATTTGTGGCCAGATCGCTTCTGAAAGAGAGCTATATAGCTTAGCGGGCCTTACCTGGTTAAAAAAGAAAAAAGTTTATTCGTGTTTTTTGTTTGTTTTAGTTATTTTATTGAAGGTGGAGGGGACAGCAGCTCCCTGTACCAAATGCAGAGTCCCCGTTGGCTACTGCGGTGGTCATGTGCATGCTATGATGATAACAGCTCATAAGCATGCATCAGCACACTCTTCGCCTTCCCCTCCCCACAGTGGCATATATCCACAGTGTTGCCCTTTGTGACACCAGCGATGATGAGGTGGCGGTTGTTTTGTCAGACAAACAACAACAGCCGCCTTTTCCAAAAAAGTGGCGGTGATGTCAGTAATTTCTGCGATGACATTACAGCGGTTGGAGAAGCATCATCTTGGTGATGTTTTTCCTTTTCCCATAATTGTTTATATATTATAATTACAAATAACAAAACACAATTGCACCACGAAATGTATTTGCTTAATTGGGAAACAAAAACAAAATAATTGTCGTGGTAGATTCTTACATTATTAAATGATGGTAAATATTATTTAAACATCCTGTGTGATAATTTTGAAGATATAACAATAGCACGGTTATAGCAGCAAAACTGTAAGACTATGTAAGTGATGGTAATAGGAGGTGGCCACATGTCCCGGGGTCAGGGTACAGGGTTTAGGGTGACAACACAAACAACCGCCATTCACCACTAAGTTGCGGTGACGTCTCCACGGCGCCTGTGCCATGCTAGGTGCACTTTGAGGCCACGTGAAGTGTCGAAGGCTCGCTGTTGGCAGGAGGTCACGGGGCAGACCCAGGTGGTGCCATGGGTTGACTGACTGAGATGACCGAAAGATGTGCCAGGCGAGGTGCGGGAAGTCACGGGACAGACCCAGGTGGTGCCATTGATTGACTGACTGAGATGACTGGCAGATGCACCACCTGTGCCAGGCTAGGTGCGGGAGGTCACGGGGCAGACCGAGGTGGTGCCATGGATTGATTTACTGAGATGACTGGCAGATGCACCACCTGTGCCATGGCTAGGTGCGGGAAGTCACGGGACAGACCCAGGTGGTGCCATGGGTTGACTGACTGAGATGACTGGCAGATGCACCACCTGTGCCAGGCTAGGTGCGGGAAGTCACGGGACAGACCCAGGTGGTGCCATAGGTTGACTGACTGAGATGACTGGCAGATGCACCACCTGTGCAATGCTAGGTGCGGGAGGTCACGGGGCAGACCGAGGTGGTGCCATGGGTTGACTGACTGAGATGACTGGCAGATGCACCACCTGTGCCAGGCTAGGTGCAGGAGGTCACGGGGCAGACCCAGGTGGTGCCATGGGTTGACTGACTGAGATGACTGGCAGATGCACCACCTGTGCCAGGCGAGGTGCGGGAGGTCACGGGGCAGACCCAGGTGGTGCCATGGGTTGACTGACTGAGATGACTGGCAGATGCACCACCTGTGCCAGGCTAGGTGCAGGAGGTCACGGGGCAGACCCAGGTGGTGCCATGGGTTGACTGACTGAGATGACTTTCAGATGCACCACCTGTGCCAGGCTAGGTGCGGGAGGTCACGGGACAGACCCAGGTGGTGCCATGGGTTGACTGAGACGACTGGCAGATGCACTCACTCCACCTGTGCCCCCCACTAAGCACAAACAACAACGGACATCGATTCTCGCGCTTTGCATCGATTATTAAAATCGTTAGTCCACGTGTACTGGGATCACTTTGAATCGTGACGATCGCAGGAATCGAGGGAGTCGAATCGAATTCCCACCGCGGCGATTCTTCATCGCCACGTCCGAGAGCGACTGCCGATTTCCGTGGGCGTCATGAGAGCGGTACGTCCGTAGTGCCTCCCCTCTCTGTCTCTCTCCTTATCTCTCTCACTGCGGCTGTGCTTAACCCGCGGACGTCTTTGTATCTCTCCCTCCTCACCCAGGCGTCGGACGACGACACGGAGGACGTGGCTCTCGAGTTCGGCGACGACGATGAGGGGGCGCCTGGCCGGGCGAGGCGGCGCGTCGGGTGGGTTGCGCGCCCAGGCGAGACGGGGGGGCCCGAGGCGGGCTAGGCCGCGCGTGGGCTTTGCTCGCGCAGTTCGTGGCCTTACGTGGTGGATTTTAAAACTATATATTCTTAGAGATCAGGACCGTCAAACAACTCTCAACTTGAGCGAAGACGCTCTATCAATGATAAATTAAAACTACAGGCTTGTGTAGCTTTTATTAAAGAGTCTCGGAGGGGAACATCTTGTATGACTGTGAATTCCACGTTGCATGGCATTAGAGTGCGTTTAGCGGTGTTAGAAACGTCTTATTAGACACATTAAACAATATAAAATATCACCAGCCATGGTCAATCCGCTGCTGGATTAAGGCCTCCCCAAGCCACCGCCATCACTCACGATCCTGCGATGTCACAGCGCTTTTGCGCGTAGGTTGGCTACAATCGGTGGCTTAATGAGCTAATTGAACACTTCATAATATGCCTCAACTATTCACTATTGTATACAGTGACTAGCTGTACTACCCGGCTTCGCCCGGGACTTGTATCCACCACGGCCGGCCGCCTTTGTCTCCCCAGTGGCGATGTTAATACGCCACACCAGTTACTCGTTTGAGGCTGAGTCGACCTATGGGAGGTTCAAATAATCTTGACCGGTGGTGGCCATGAGCGGGAATCGAACTCGGTTCGCCGGGTTGGTATCGCAGCGTAGCGTTAACCACTACACCCACCGCTCCTCACACACACAGACGCACAGACACACACACAGACACACACACAGACACACACACAGACACACGCAGACACACACACAGACACAGACAGACACACAGACACACAGACAGCACGCTAACCACTACACTACCGCTCCCCACACACGCACACACACAGACACACACACAGACACACACACAGACACACACACAGACACACACACAGACACACACACAGACACACACACACAGACACACACACAGACACACACACAGGCAGCACGCTAAGCACTACACTACCGTTCCCCCTACACACCACACACGCACACACACAGACACACACACAAACACACACACAGACACACAGACACAGACACACACACAGACACACACACAGACACACAGACACACACACACAGACACACACACACAGACACACACACAGACACACACACACAGTTACACAGACACACACACACAGGCAGCACGCTAAGCACTACACTACCGTTCCCCCTACACACCACACACGCACACACACACGCACACACACAGACACACACACAGACACACACACACAGACACAGGCAGCACGCTAAGCACTACACTACCGTTCCCCCTACACGACACACGCGCACACACACAGACACACACACAGACACACACACACAGACACACAGACAGACACACACACAGACACACACACAGACACACACACACAGACACATACACACAGACACACAGACAGCACGCTAACCACTACACTACCGCTCCCCACACACCACACACGCACACACACAGACACACACACAGACACACACACACAGACACACACACACAGGCAGCACGCTAAGCACTACACTACCGTTCTCCCTACACAACACACGCGCACACACACAGACACACACACAAACACACACACACAGACACACAGACAGACACACACACACAGACACACACACAGACACACACACACAGACACACAGACACAGGCAGCACGCTAAGCACTACACTACCGTTCCCCCTACACAACACACGCGCACACACACAGACACACACACAGACACACACACACAGACACACACACACAGACACACAGACAGACACACACACACAGACACACACACACAGACACACATACACAGGCAGCACGCTAAGCACTACACTACCGTTCCCCCTACACAACACACGCGCACACACACAGACACACACACAGACACACAGACAGACACACAGACAGACACACACACACAGACACACACACACAGACACACACGCGCACACACACAGACACACACACACAGACACACACACACAGACACACAGACAGACACACACAGACACACACACACAGACACACACACAGACACACACACACAGACACACACACACACACAGACAGACAGACACACACACAGACACACACACAGACACACACACACAGACAGACACACACACACAGACAGACACACACAGACACACACACACAGACACACAGACACAGGCAGCACGCTAAGCACTACACTACCGTTCCCCCTACACGTCCATAGGTACACATACACGCGCTTGCTGCAGACACACACATACACACACATACATACACGCACATACACATACACACAAACACATACACACACATACACACACATGCATACACACAGACATACACATACATACAAACACACACATACATACACACAAACACATACACAATACACACACACATACATACAGACACACACATACATACACACAAACACATACAGACACATACATACACACATACATACAGACACACAGACATACACATAAACACATACACACATAGTCATGACCCGGCTTTGCCCGGGACTTGTATCCACCACGCCCGGCCGCCTTTGTCTCCCCAGTGGCGATGTTGATACGCCACACCAGTTACTCGTTTTGAGGCTGAGTCCCTCCCTCGCCACTCTCCCTCCCTCGCCACTCTGCCTCCCTCGCCACTCTGTAGAGGACGTGAAATTTGTATGAATTTACCTCAGAGTGGCGTGTTGGGTGTCGAGGCCTAGCACCGTGCAGAGCCTCCCGCCTTGCCTGATTTTCCCACCCGGCGAACGCTGGGTACGGGTGCCGGTCCCCCCCCCCCCCCGCGCTATTAAAAATGGCGTCCACCCCGCGGCGAAAAGTTGCTACTCGTTGCCAGGGGCAACCGCCGTCCAATGAAAGCGGCGAAGGCGTCGTTAGCTGTTGCCAGGGGCAACCGCCGTCCAATGAAAGTGCGTATGGTCCGAAATCCACACACACATACACAGACAGACAGACAGACATGCACGATTTTATATATATAGATGTGGTGTGGATAGTGTTCACTTATGCAGTGGCCTTGGAGAAAGAGTTTCTCGCAGAGGATTGTCAAACAGTACTTTGTGATGTTGCAGTAGTTGTGGAGTTGTATGTATGAACAGTATGTTGAACTTCTTTCGCACCGTACGTTGGGACTTTTTAGAGAGGACTGCCACAGTGCTGATGTAGTGGAATGGTCAAAAAATTTGTTTTTCCTTAGTTGTATTACAGACAGGGAATTCGTAAAGACGGGGAAAGTAATTATTAACCCAGGGTTAGTTTTCTACCCTAACCCTCACGATGGTTTCCATGTGTTTCAGACACCCGTTGGCGACGTTTTTCCACCTATTCTTCCGTGTTTCTGCAATTATCTTTTACTTAATTTGCGAGTGGTTCATCGGCAGTTTCATTGCCAACTTTGTCATCATCATCTTATTTCTTTCCTTCGACTTCTGGACTGTGAAGGTACGAAATACATCTCGCATTTTGATTTGAAATTAAGATCTCTTTCTGTCAAACAATAATGCAATATGTTGCATAACAAAACATAATTGTAAAATAATATATATTTCACTAGAATGTCACTGGAAGATTGATGGTGGGATTGCGTTGGTGGAACCAGATCGATGAAGATGGAAAGGGCCACTGGGTGTTTGAAGCCAGAAAGGTTTGGTCGCATTTAACACAACCTTAAAACCAGCATTTACACGGCAGCATTCTTATTTAATAGAGGTTTTGAGCCTTACACTTGGTTCTTTGGGTATAGTCACGTAGAAAGGAAATAATAAAATAGTAAAAATATCAAACAATATTATTTCCCTTCTACGTGACTTTACCGAAAGAACCAAGAATATGAATCCCTGCAGTCACGAAAGCTTTGAATCAAAGTTTTGAGCCTTGTTAAAAATGTCCTGTTATTGTTCATGGTCAGGATTTGATCTTTGAATGTTATGGGTTCACTGGATGGCACATTTTGAGCTCTACCTAAATTGTACATGCCTCATTTACATCATAGTTTGAAGTACACAAGTTGTCATGATGCCCAATGGGAGATGTGTGGGTGTGGAGGAAGGCCAATGTTCGTATTTCAAATATATATTTATTTTAAATATAGGCATTGCATTCCATTTTTACATGAACCAAATATTAAGGAATTAATAATCACATTATTAACATGTTCAATGGAAGAGCCACACCTTTTAATTTAGTTTTACACTTTCATGTTGCTGTCCAGTATTTAAATAAGTGAATTGTTTCATGAGGGCCGTTATTTTGTTTGGACGAGTTTCTCAAAACTATACGCTAGCCAATTGCGTAAAACATATGTTTTGTCACTTGTTTTCACATGAAAAGATATGTAGGTGTCAAATGCAGACTGAAATACAGTGTCCATAAAGTTATAATCATATATCGAGTAATTAAATTAAACAGCAGTATAAATTTCTTGGTTGAACGTTGGGGTTCTGTTGAAAGATAAAGTGTATGATGAAAAACCAAAAGAGCTTGAATATTCAGCAGCACTTAAAACGATTACACATGACATGTTGGCGAACAACTGCAGGAACAGCTGGGACTCATCTCCATGGGATGCTGTGATTAATGCCATAGCAGACATGTGGAGGTTTAAAGAGATGAAACTGATCATAATATATTGACACTACCAGGTGTGTGTGTAGTGTTATTAACCTCGCTTAATCTGCGAATTCTAATCGTTTAATAATGGATGACACATTTATTTACAATGACTGAGATGGCTGGCAGATGCACCACCTGAGGTATGAAGCAATGTTTGGTTAAAAATGTAATTATGTTTCGTACCTCGTGTTATTTTTTTCAGGCGTCTTCACGAAACAAACTTAACTCGACAGAAGCAGAAGCCAGAATATTTTGGTTGGGCCTGATCATCACTCCTCTCATCTGGTCCATATTCTTCTTCAGCACACTCTTTTCTCTAAAGCTGAGGTGGATGGTAAGGGTACTGGCTGCATGTTACAAGTTTTACATATACATACTTTTAAAACAGTGGTGCACTGTCCATACTGAAAATATGGATTTTCAAGTAAAGTTGTGTACAAAAGTTAGCTTTTTACGGTGATGTCTAATACATTCGCATACATTTTATATTTTGTAGATGTATGCCTTGTATTAGTACATAATGTATGCAAATATTTACTGATAAAAATACATTCTTACACCCACAGTATCAACAGAAACGAGTGATAGTTACTGTTGAAACTACAGAAAAAGTGAGAAAATACAAACGGGGTTGTAAAAACAAAAAAATAATACATTAACAAAAAAAATTCCAGATCCTGAATTGTGACAGTTAATCACATTGTCAGTTGGGTAAATCATAATTTAGGCGTTGGGTGTTAGGAATGGTTAGAAATATAAAATGGTTAGAAATATGAAATGTTCTTGTAAAGTAACAAAAACAGGTCACTGCATGTACTTAGAGACATGTACCTGGGAAAAGTATGTCCCCTGTGCTCTGTTGAGCAAAAATATGGATCAGCATCTTTATGGGAACATGCATGTTTCATAAGCAATGTATACATTAGTTTTGCATTATTTTTATGCACACGATCATGGCTTGCACGTCTGTTTTTATAGGCATTGGTGATACTTGGAGTGGTCCTACAGGGAGCCAACTTGTATGGCTATGTGCGCTGTAAACTTGGAGGCAAGCGCAATTTGACCACCTTAGCTTCTACATACCTAGGCCAGCAATTTCTACAAAGGGTAAGTCTTGAGATATTTCTACATCTGCACCTTACAGAGCTACTGAAGCATTTATTAATTATATATGCTTCACTTTTAATACAAAAAAGTATCACACCGACTCCCATAATAATGTCAGCCCAAATACAGTTGACCCTTTACATTCGTGGGTTTTCTGATCGTGCTTTTCAGTATTTCGCGACAAGTTTATCGTCATGGATATTTTCAATTCAAGGGGTTGTATTTTAATTGTTCGCGGCCGCATCTCGCGACTACCCGTCGTGATGAATATTTTATTATGTTTTATTTTTTTATTTTATTATTTCCCTTCTACGTGACTTTACCAAAAGAACCAAGAAGATGAATCCCTGCAGTCACGAAAGCTTTAAATCGAAATTTACCCGACAAGAAGTCTGTGACGCGTGGGAGCGGCGTGGATCGCTGGAGCATGATAATTGCCTTGCCCACGCGACATCACTCTAACCTCTGTCTGCCTCTCTTGACACATTTTATATTCTTTGATATTTGCGCTCTTAACCCTTTCCCGTTCCGATGACGTACGTATGTGTACGTCATAGTTTTTTCTTCCGATTCCCTTCCAATGACGTACGCTTGCATCATCAAAACGAAACCGGAAGTACAAATAAAATAACTTGCGATACCGAGGTTCCCACAAAGCCAAGCAGGAGGGTATGTGGCAAAGAATATTAATGCTGAGCCGCTTGTGCGTTGGGAGATCAGAGGTGAACGAGACACCCACCCTTCAACTTGCAGTGGTCTCAGAATGGGAAAGGGTTAAATGTTTATATTAATCATGATTAAAGGTAAGTTAAATAAGAATAATACTATACAATATATGTATTAATTGATAGATAATACAGTTTGTATGTTTAAACCTAGTATATGTTAATGCCGCCTAACCCTATTCTCCTCAAGCTTTATTTATTAATCACGGATTTCATATTTTCAAGGAACGTGTCCCCGTGAGTATTAAGGGTGCGTACTGTATTGTATAAATAAACATGTTCAAAAATAACTTAGCTTTTCTGTTGTTAAGAAGCTCTCAATGTTAAGAAAAATTACCTTTACCGAGGCTTCGATTAATAGACTTAAATATCCTGCAGGCATTGGCTTTAGTTGCGTTAACACTGTTGATAAAGCACTAATTGTAAGTCGAGGGCGAGGGGTGATGGTGGAAGGGTGGTCGCTTTCGGCTATATTTGTCTCATTCGAGTTTAATTAGGCTTCAAAGTGTGACTAATTGGCAAGGTGTTAAGGAGGTTAGCTGTGGGCTTGGTGTGACAGTTTAACGAACGCTGCCATATGGTTGGTAGGCCTACACAGTAGGTGTTCGCAAATACCTGCTGTGGAGGATGTACAGAGGCGCGCTGCTGGATGGTATTTTAAAAGTCTGCCTCATCTCTTTCATGGGCACTCGAGGGGGATGAAACGAGGGGGTGATTAGGTGCCACGACTCAGGCACATGCGGAGCTACAATATTTATATATTCATGTTTATCTTGTGGCACACACGGTTTATGGAAATGCTGCACCTCCGAAAAAACGCGGCTGCTGTGGCCGCCGTGTTAATGGGTCGCACCAGTGTTAGAGTGCCGTTGTCATCTTGGGTGAGTGAGGCTCCTTGTTATGACCCTGCTGTAATTGATAGCCTCAAATGTAAAATTAGTCGATTGATTGGCCCGGTGCTTACTGGTTCACTCCAGTCTCACTGGGCCATCGTTCAGTCACCCCTTATGCTTCTATCACCAAGTACACAACCGTTGTAACTGACCGACGTTCAGGACCCGTGCTCGACCACCATATTGTAGGGACACGTTCATCTTATACTGGTAGGAACCTCCTGGTTACACCAGCCCACAGGGGATTATTGTGTCCGTCCGTCGTGCATCCCAAAATGGGAGGGGTGGGGAGGGTGAAGAGGGGCTGGGTGGGGCTGGGTGCGGAGGGGTTGGGTGGGGAGGGTGGGGCTGAGAGGGGAGGGTGGGGCTGGGTGGAGGGTGGGGCTGGGGGGGTGGGGGGTGGGGCTGGGTGGGGAGGGGCTGGTCACCCCGTGGTGCCCTTATAAAACTCAAAGTTTAACCTATTCACGCCGGCTTGTGCCCGCCCTCGAATTCGGCCATATTTGCGGAATACACCAGGCCGCTGTTGACCCTGGCCATTGACCGAGCAACCCAACGTTCCTACCAGCTCCCTCCGCAGGAATGTGTTTTCCTCAAAATGCTCGACTTGGGGACGCATTCCCAATAGCTCCCTCCCCAAGTTCCTGTAAAGCCTTGTTCAATTCAAGAAACTCTGACTCTTTCTTCATCATCCATGCCTTTAATTACTGATCACATTGCATTATGCGCCCTTCAGATTCTTGTGAGGAATTTGCCTTGAATTGAGCTTTCACGCACCCCCATCAATTCTCTAAACTCCTCCATTAGGACAATCACATCCAGCCATCAGTTTTCAGCTTTAAATATCTTCTGAACAGATCGAAATGTTCTTTTGTTCCGTCTGGCATAATTAATTTCTGGGGGTTACTTTGGATTTTGGACTGGAATATGTCTTACTTCCAGAGGTTAAGGTGTAAGACTCATCAAGACAGAGTTGTGGAGTTTGAATAAGATGTGCAAAATAACAAAAATTTATTTAAGAAAAGCTGCTAGGTCTTGAAAAACACTGAAGGTGGCACACTCTTTCTGACTGCACATAAGATATTTACGATGAAATATCAATGTTCTTAGAATGACAGCCTCCATGACGGCAGTATTGAAAAACCAATGTTCTGAATACGGATACTTCTGTAGCCCATACAGATTACATGGTACAGAGTGATGACGAGCAGTTGTGAATACCAAATAAGCACCATGACCCATTTATGTCACTACAAAAGTGCAACAGGCCACTGAAGGTGAAAAAAAAATCAATGAAAGGTGTTGGGCATGCCTTGCGGACTGCAACATCATGCATCAAAATGTTCCGGTTACTTAAATTTTTTTTTTAAAAACCCAAGCTCGTGGGTGTTTGGCAGCGATGTGTGCTGTCAACATTGATGAATGAGGTGTCAAGATAGTCTTCAAAGGCCAACAGTGCAGGCAAAAGCTTACATCGCCCTTCATTGAAATTCTGCCGGTTAGAAGTTTATCCAGTCTACATAGTTGACAGCGCTTGGTGCTGAAATTGAAAGAAATCCATTGAGCAAAGCTTGAAATCTTTTTACTCCCATCCTAGTTCTTTTTAGTGGTTCTAACCCCCAAATGCAAGTCAAACTAGACAACTTCACTCCATTTCCGTGGGGTCTGGTCCCTGGTGGTTGAAGTGCTACTTCAGTCATGCTAAAACCATGGAATCATACGTGCTGCAGTTCATAGAGCCCCTGTGAACCTTCCTCTTGTTATTAGTTCTACGAAGCCTATACATTCCGCTGACATGGTCCTTCTCTTGAGGCCCCCAAATGAAAATAGACAGCCCATAAGTGAGAGAAAATTAATGCATGATGTTTTACAACACGCTAGATGGCAAGAATCCTTAACAAGCAAAGGAGGAGGATGAAGATGCGTATTCCTCAGCACATTACACGAGACAAATTAACTAAAGATTTATTCCTTAATTTTGGGAATCATTGAATGGTTGTCGGCCCTCCTCCACCCCCATTAAAGAATCAATTTGTGTAGAGGATAGTCTATGCAGCACAATGGATTTACCTTCTGCAAAGACCCGTACACGTGTTCCTTATTTCTTTTGTGTTTGTCAGGTGAACAAGAGCCACTGACAAAAAAGTTTTATCAGCAAAAAAGTGCAGCGGCACTTGAGACAAGATGGTGATTTAATGCCCCTTTGATTTTATCATCTTAAGAATAGAATGAATGTGGCGGTGAACAAAAGCGGTCCTTAGATATTTTTGACATATCTAGTTGTACGTGCGCATTAGAAAATTTGAAAACATGCCCAGTTTCCCAAAGCACAAAACTTCAATGCAGAATATGCAGCTAAGCGAAATCCCCCCCCCCCCAATATCTCTGCCTCGGTGGGCAAATATGCCCTCGCCCATTGCAGATGAGTGGTAAGTTGCGCATATGTGCTAGTCGTGTAGAGATTGTCGACAAGGAGGAATGTTTTGCCCTTGAATGTCCATCGCTGATACACGATGCTTGGGGTATTGTTGTAAAGCACTCCTATCTTTTTAAGGATCACATCCCAGTATTGATATTAGAATTTAAATAAAGATCTTAACCATCATTCATGTTGGAATATTACCTGGATGTAACACCACAGGCTTTTAAATTACATTCGTATTACCTACATGTTGTGTTACCACACCCACTGGATGACATTCTTTTGCTGAGCAGTTGGTTCATTTGGATCTGTGCTGAATATGCTGTCACGAGCTGGGACGGTCCAAATAAAGTGCAAAATAATTGCAAATGGTGTTCATATACAGCAGTTGGTGACCATAGTGAGTCTAACACATTCCTGCGGAGGGAGCTGGTAGGAACGTTGGGTTGCTCGGTCAATGGCCAGGGTCCACGGCGGCGTGGTGTATTCCACAAATATGGCCGACTGAGGGCGGGCACAAGCCAGCGTGAGTAGGTTAAACGTTGAGTTTTATAAGGGCACCATGGGGTGACCAGCCCCTCCCCACCCAGCCCAGCCCCTCCCACCCCCCACCCAGCCCCAACCTCCCCACCCTCCCCTCTCCACCCAGCCCGACCCCTCCCATATTTGGATGCACGACGGATGGACACAATAATCCCCTGTGGGCTGGTGGAACCAGGAGGTTCCTACCAGTAAAATTAAGTATCTGGTTTAATTGTGGGTGGTGGCTCGGATCACTACAATTTCAGTGATGCAAACTCGAATATTTTGATATGGGCACATGTCCCTTATGAGCCCCACCCAGTTGTATCTGATTAATTCTTAGGGTTCTACTATTATCAAGATCAGAAAACATGAACATGTTCACTCCAACAATGGCATATACTGCTTTTATCTGCATCTAATTGTAACTGGACATTGAAGTCAATAAGTATAGGAATTTCTGTGAAAATCATGCAATCATTTTGTAAATTGTGTTGCTTGGCTTCTTCAAATGTGTTGCAGCCTGGAGCATTCAAGGCTGACTCTTACTTCAGTGGTGGAAAAAGCTGGTAGTGCATCTGTATTCACACCAGCATATCAAGGTCAAGAGATCAACACGGCCATTGCCGTTTGCCACCAAACCTCGGCTTGCCAGTAATATTAGTAAATTTGACGAGGGCTGAGACAGCGCAAATAGAATTACCCTTCACTGTTGGTTAGACCATGATTAGTGGTGTTTGCCTGTGTGCGCATGTGTACGTGATCTTGTACGTACGTTAAAATCGATCACATTTGTGTGCACGCGTGTGCTGTTGTCCAAATATGGGCACACTAAATTTACACGAGACGAAAGGTGAGAGATTTTGACACAACCCATCAGCCCCACGGCCTTACAGGAGTATGTATGTGCACTAGATATAAAGGATTACGCCACAAAAACAATTGCCGCTGCCAAACTCCCATTTGACGAGATGACTGTACTTTACAGTCTTAATGGACCGAACACCGAAAACAAAAATCTGAGTGCTTACCTTAAATCCAGTTATCTGTGGAAAATTACAGATAACTGATGGCATTTCGGTGGACAGTTTTTCTTATTTTCAGATGGAATTTAAGGTATTTTACCCCATCTAATTGAGGCTGTAGATACCCAAAGACAATGCCGAGTCTGCAAGCAAATATTGTCTTGCACTGGGCTATTTTGTGAAGAAAGTGCATGGTGTGCAGGTGCTGTGTTGCACACAGTTCACCGGACATCATAGAAAACAGAAACATCTTGCAGATTAGTTTTTATCCTGGAAAATAATATCTCCTGGCCAAGTTGGCCTTGAGAAAAAGTGGCATTGCTCAATTGACTTACTTGGCAAAAATGCTTCTGAACTTTTTGATCTTAAAAATGGATAACGCCTTGTCTCTTCGCAACCTTCCTCACATCTCTAAATTCGCAGATAATTGGAAGTACTTATCGGTGGATAACGAGATGTTATCCACACGCTTTATAACAGCCTGTCACGAATAAATAACGGTTTCGCTAATTCGGATATGGATGGCAAGGGTTTAATGATGATTTACAACTTTAATGAGTGCGGCTTTAACGTTACAGCTTATTCGACGAGCTACGCGTGAGAGGAGGCGCCTCGTGTTTTGAATCGATCAGCACATTTTGTCAATGGGAAATATTTAATTATATTCCAAATGTGATTGCTTTTTGCGCACAGCCATAATGCTGCGTTGTTAAAAGTAATTGTAAATCTGTAGGTTTTGGGAAGTAAACTAAATGATGGTGTATTCTAAGCATATTGATTAGTTGAGTAATAAAAAAAAATGTAATAGTGTGTAGTTATGCAAATTTCTGGGTGTGCTTTGTTTTTCGCTTTAAAGATGGCTGCTGTTGGCGAGTTAGAATCAGAATGTTTATTTGCACTGGTCCAGTAGGGGTGGGTAGATGTCCAGTTGGGGTGGGTAACAACGTGACGACAAGAAACAGTACAAAAACATAGTAATGCAAAGTACAAGAAAGGTAAACAAGTCGCCAAAGCACAAATAAAACTAAACAATCCCCATCCTACCAGACAAAGCGCACTCAGGTATTAACTTATTGATCAAAAGCGACCTGGCCGCAAATGATGGCTTAACAAAGTGGCTTATGTGGACATTTATAGCAGCAAAATAATCTAGCGTTAACGCACGTTTCTAAATGTGGAGGGAAAAACCGGAGGACCCGGAGAAAAAACATCCACGCGACCATGAGATGAACGTGCACACTCCAAATCTATAGACGCCAGGGTTGGGATTGAACCCCCCCCCAACCTCCTGCATACCAGGCGAGGAAGATGACATCTCACCACCGTGGCACCCCTGAAATCGGGGCAGGATTTTCTGACGTTTGCTGGCAACTTGCACGGTCACATGAAGCTGCTTGTATTATAATAGTTGTTTTGCTTCTTCGGACCAATTAAGTAAACGTGAATGTGATCACTACAATTCAGTATTGCCGAATTCTCATGTGCTGCTTTACCCCAAAGTAAGACGCAGCATGAAAGTAAAAATGTGGCCATGTGATCGTACTGTGATGTACAAACTAAAACGGTACATTCACACCATTGTCACCCGGTTACTGTCACGTGAGATTTTATTTTCCTTATCCAATTTGGAATGCCTCCTTTCATTGAGAAGTCGCGCTAATTGTTGTGGTATACCAGCTGGTAATTAGATGAGAAGGTAGATGGTGACTTCACTGCTCCCTCGTGTTATGGAAATGTGGCTGAATAAGCTGCACGTCTAAAATTAACTTGTGCAGGAAATATATTCATTGAAAAAAAACTGGTTATATGGTTGCCTTTTTATTTTCTTTATTTAAATAAACAGTATCACGGCTAGAAAAGCATGGCAATTCATTTAATGAGCTGAACTGTAGTATGAATGTAGTGTTATATTTTTAACAATCTAATCGTGGCGGGGCTTTGACATGTACGAGGATGAGTCACGTTTCTCGGTTTAAATTCAGCAGCAAAATCTCGCTGTGGAACGTCTTAAACACATGGACTTACCTCCATGGGGATAACACGTTTGATGTATATTATTAAAAGACTTGTCTTGAACGTGTGCCTTTTCAATTATTTAAAAAGCGCATGCCATTTCACAAATCGTTTGCTTATGAGTTGTTTGACCATACTTCACCACACCGGTTAGTGTGGGTTGGTGAAGAGAGGCACTCCAGCTTCAGATAGTGCTTTCCGTTGATGATAGCTGTGGCCAAGAATGCAACTCTTGTTTGGTTTAGAGCACAATATGCTAACCACTGCATCACCGCTCCATTACTTAACCACATGATTTAAAATGGGATTTTCAGTGACAGGGCAAAGAGGTTGTAGAACATTTGCCGATTGCTGTAAGAGGGTCGTGGTTTGAGTCCAGCGGCTGCCTTGGTTCATGCTGCGAGTATGTAAAAAAATGTACCGTTTATTGGTACTGATATATTACATCGCGTTGGTAAAATTAAAATAATATATGCCATCCTCTTCAGTGGTTTTTATGAATCCCATGATGTCATCTAAAAAAAGAGGCGTGTGTGCCGGCGTTATGGTCCAATTTTTTTTATATCAGCAAATGACTACATTTGGTAAAACTGCATAGCAACATTGTCCCCTCCTGGCAGTGTATGCTCAAATGTATAAACAAAACACCTCTGAAATCCTTAGTGCTGTAAAACTGGTGCAAATAGCTTGTATACTAATTATTTAGTTTTGTATTGATGTATATATCTTTTATATGTTATAAGTACATAGATTTTTTTCTTCACTATATTGACTATTACACTAACCTTGGCATGGGCAAGGCTTCATGCAGTGGTGGATTGACAAAGGACTGCAAATTATTAGTACAGTAATCTTTAGGAACTCAAGGCCTGAAACCATTGCATACCTTGACATTTTTTTGGAAGAATGCATCGTCATTCATAAAAGCACATCAGGTGACGTGCAAGGTCAACTTGCTCATTGCAATGAGCGCCTAAAGGTCAGAAATCCAATCAAGGAAAAGGCTAAAAGCAGATGGCGATATGGTAAGCATGGGCTTTGAAGGCGCGCCGTTGGCTGCAACAGCTAAGAAATCATGCAGAGAGTAGTGCTGACAAGGAGAAGTGACTGCTGTTATCAGTAACAAACCCATTCTTTATGTTGACCCTGCATCGCGTTAATACGAGGCCCTGCAATGTTCACGTCATACACTCGCAATTAACTATTAGTTGCCCACTGCCTCTCCCAACTATTGCCAATCAGGCCTATCTGTTTCCCTCCCGTCCTCCATCGGTCCTCGTGTATTTCCCTGCACATTCACGGGCAAGCAGAGAGTCTCTTGCTAAATGTGGAGTGGAGCTCTCCCACCACATCCAGCAGTTGAAGATGGTGTAGCCGAGCTTCCCGATAACGGGTGCCTTATCCTCTCCAGATGTCGCTGCTGGATTTAGAGCGAGCCGGATGCAGTGTCCTCTTTTATCCAGACGAGACCGCTGTCGAATGGGAAAATAGCCTCTTCACTCCACGTGTGGCGAGGCGAACAGCCATGGCATGTGGGCAGCAGGTTGAATTGAATGCTGGAGCAGCATTCCCGTTCCGTTCAAACCCAGACAGATGGCTGCCAGTTTTTTTTTACTTGAAACTACGGCGAGCTTCAATGGGAAGTTACCTCCCACCCGATTAACTTCTCCAAGTGAGCTTCATTTGCTGTCAAATAAAATATAATTGAATACATGGTCCATCGCTGAAAGGGAAAGTTGCGTGTCTGATTATATGGTTGGTGAAAGGACAAATGCAAGCGGTGTTTAGTGGAAATGGCTTTCCACGATCTGGGTATTTGGCAGGTTTTTTTTTCTTAAAAAAAACCTGGCAAATTTGTTTATGGCAACACAAGAATAGGGCCATCAATATTTGTGTACTTCTAGAAACACAAAGCACTGACCTTTTTCACAGGTGGGAGAGATATAGGTCAGGGTGATATCAATGTTGTGCGTGTCATGAGCACCATGGTGGTACTTGACCTTGCGTAAAATCAGCAAGGTTATGGTCCAAGCGCGTATAGACGACGCATCGAATAAAACAGATTCTTACACTTGCGGCACACGCATTCGATTGTGCTTGTGAGAATCAACTATATAGGTGAACGGGGCAAAGAAAACTATCGAAAGGAAAAACTAATTAATTAGGGCATAAATAGCAAACGCCACAACACCAGCGGCTGAAGAATTCTCAACGGTAACCGGAGCAGTGGTCGCTCCGGCCATTAGCTTGTCCTACGCGAGGGAGGTTATTCACAACAAATCTGTCCTCGGGTGGATTTAACTCCGCGCGGCTATTTGTTTGCAAAACAGGCCAATTCTTTTCATCGCCGTCTTCCTGCCAGATTTTTTTCTCGCCAGAGGGGGTAACTTGCTGGAAAAATAACTGCCTCTGATGATTCACCCCCTCCTCCTCCTCCCCAAAGGGATTCAATGAATCTTCACGACTAGATTCGGGAATAGGTTCGCTCGTGCTCTCGTTTCGATGAACGTTGCTGCGAAATGTTTGTACATTGAGGTGGTAAGAGGCATCTTTATAACTCGTGAAACAATGGAAATTATTTACCAAGGAAAACCTCCTTATGACTTTTTTTTAAGGTTCTTCGGGATGTTTGGTCAGTCACATTTACAAGTATCAGGCTGAGAGACTCAAAGACCAGCACAGGTAGATCAACAGACAGTCCAGTGGAGTGGATCAAATCCATCCGTGCTGTACTGCTATTAGGCACCTCACATCCTCGCCGCTGCCTCACCTGTAACACCTGGCATGCACTGATGGTCCCCGAACCCAAACACCAACCAGTGTTGAATCCCCCTCTCCTCAGCTTCTGAGATCGGATGAGGCTGGGCAGTCATTGTGATGTGGTCATGAGCTCAGTTGTACCTTGAAGTTGATGAGTTGCTTTGCTCAATGTTGCTGTATGTACTCTTTTAGTCGGCTCTAGTTGGCTATGAAGTATTTATGATTCAGAATATAGATTAAATGGTGTTGCTTTCATTACGTGATAACCCAATTACGCTCCTGTAACAACTGAAAACACGTAAAAAAAATCATGGAATATGTATTTTCTCATTAAAGAAAGGAATTGAAGTATAAAGAAAAATTGTGAAAACACCCCCATACTAATTAATCTAAATTATGTTCCTGGTGAATTACCTGCAATTTGCTTCACGCTTAATAACAGAACTGTTGCCATTCTTCATCGAACAATAATTTTCCTTCACTCACTTCAGAATGTGAAATGACAACAAACTCTGTGCTGTGTTACAGGCGTTTGGGAAGACGGCGGACCCAAATGCTGAGAAGTGACACAAGGTGGCCGCACGGTGATTGTGGGAGAATGGTTTGGTGTTACTTGGTGATTGTGGGAGAATGGTGTGGTGTTACTTTGGGCTTACGAGGGGTCTTGATACTGCGGCTGGCAGCTCCAGTACTTTGTAAACGTGGGTGTACATTTACGGGTTCAACTGTGGGCATTTCCATAGCTTCATGTAAAGGTGCAATTTAACTTTGTAGAAGCTGTTAAATACATTGACAAGTGTAATCAATAAACGCTGTAAGGAATCATCTTTAATCGGAGCGCATTATAAGATAGGAGCAAATTGACCCGATCACAACGTTGGTGTGACAAAATTTCCTTCTGATTTTTATTTAATTGAAACTTAAAACATCTGCAAAAAGCTGTGTAATTTAGCAGTTAATCCATGCACCAAATATTGGTGGAATCGCTATTTATACCGACACATCAATCAGGTCTCTTCCTGCGAATCGTGCAATGAACACTTTTTCACAAACACTTGTGAGAACTTCAATTTTTTTTTCTCATTTGTATTAAAGCCGGGAATCTTGGTGCATTAAAATTTAACATATACCACTTGTCAATCATTTAGAATATTCCGGGGTTTTTTTCTTCTCTTGAATATAAATGCAATGAGCTACTCAAAATGTATTTGCTTTTTTTCTCGTAAATTAAACACGTCAAGATGGGGGCTCTAATCTCCTAGTTGGATAAATAACAATGAAGTGCCATTGACGCAATTTAGAGGTGATACATTCCGAGGGGAAGTATATTATGTTTATTGTTAATGTTTAGGTGCAGGACCATGCAATTTTTTTAAATTAAATCAAGAGGTACATTACATTATTTGCATTACATGTAATTTTCAGAAATATCATACTGGTATATCACAGGTTTATTTTCTCTGTAAGTATCCTGTAGAACTCGCCTAGCAGACGTGAACATCAAACACTCGCTCATGAAACGGCTCAGGTTTTGAGAGCCCAAGGTTTTTGGTTTGTTCACCCCCACATATCATTACCTGACCAAGTTGAGATGTGCTTGTTGTTGGCTTAGGAAAACGAAAAAATCTTAACATGTATTTTGAAACTGCGACTGCAGAATCAGAAATAATTTATTGCATCTATGCAACAATTTTTCAAAGACGTGACGATGATAAAATAAACATTTGCATTCTTGTAATTTTGGAATGTTACCATTTGCAATAAACACATTTTCTGTGAGTGGAAAAAAAATCCACGTGTCTTCAACAGCAGCTATCACTGGCTTCGCACACAGTGCAGAGTTCTTGCTTCAGTCGTTATTCATTTTGATGGATGTGCAATATTCCTGAATCTCTGAAAAACAAGACGATAAAAAAGTATTGTCATGCGTTGAGGTTGCACAACACTCAATTATGACATGTGTTCATAACAATGTCCATCGCACCTCTGGTGTTTGTTATTATTTGCTTAATGTTTGGATAAGTACGGCTTTAATATGCTCCAAAAATGTACCAAAGACTTACTCTCATGGCTAATCAACCGAGTATAGAATTTGTAAAAAATAATATTCCATTCAATAGATTTTATACATTTCATGTTGCCAGATTGGTAAATATAATGCACGGGTAAATTTTGCACAAAATAAATCAGAGTTGATTACTTAAGTTATAACGGTCACTTGTAGGTGTTAAAAATGTCGTTGATTTCCTCTTCATCTTGGACGCGAGAATGTTGGTGGAGTGAAGAGACACGTGCCAGCATTTGTTTTATGGCTGGGGAAGTGGCTTCACAATGGGAATGCTATTTATGGCAAAAATCCTTGGGTGTGTGGTGAATGGAAAGAGCTGGCTTGTGTCTTGCTTGCTTTGGCTGCTTTGGTGCAGCTGCAGATCAGAGTGAGAGAGCTGGAAGTCAGCAGAGAGAGGAGGGGGGGGCAGAATGTGTACTGCCTAGAAAAAAATAAAATTTCTTTGCCAAGTAGAAAACAGCTGAAAAAAAACGCGCTGAATACGTTCTAAAAATGTAAAACCCCATGAATATGCATGATGCTTGCAAAATAATGGTGTCCCCATGCTCAAAACATGTTGTTTACAGGACTCGTCCCCATAGGTGGCACTGGGGCAGTGGTGTAGCAGTCCCCCATGGGGTGACTGTTGATTCAGTGGACCAGTTGGAATTATTATCAACCTCCTAACTGGATAGAATATCAATATAGAATATCAATAGTGGTCTCAACTGGGAGCACGCTGGTGTATACCGACTGAGCTAAATCGTGGCTGGCACTCAGTCCTTTATGCTGTAGAACATTTCTTGATTGCAAGGATATTTATCGTCATCGATCAACATCATCGACAGCCATGATCAATCCACTGTTGGATGGAGGCCTCCCCACATTGTTGCCATCCTGATGATCCACGTGATGACAAGAGCCGCTTTGCTGCCGTACATAAACTGAACCCAACGCTCTGTTTTCTGTGGCCGGCGTCCTCTCTCGGGTGCTTCCCCTACTGGCTGTCATTCCGCCGCCATCAACAAAGTGGCATCATCAAAGAAGTGGGACCAGTTGTTGGATTAATAAAAGCTAAGTGCCTAACACAGAAATTAAATACCTCAGTCGTGGGCAGATGCCGCGATCCTTTTTATATAAAAAAAAAGGAGACAAAACTGATTTCTCATTTAAATTACTCCAGAGCTGTTTGCTTATTAAACACCTACATTAAGTGTTTACGAATATCATAGGGAATGGAAGAATGCACAATTTGGAAGCTGACCAACCAAGCTAGCCAGCTCGATATGGAAAACATTTTCTACCATTGATGAAAAACATATCAAATAACTATGCCTGGCTTTTGTTGACTGAGCCATTTTGATTTATTGAGATAACAACATTTCTATCTCTTCAAGTACACCTTTAAATGTTAAGTTCTATTACAATAAAGCTGCACACATGTATTTATAACTGCCTATATAAGGCTTAGCAGCAGGCCATAGGAATATTTCGCAAAGTGTAACGCAACATAATCCCGGCTATTTCTTGCCACGTGTTACAGTGAAACGAGATGCAAAAGACCTTTACCGTTGTTTGACCCACTGACGAACGCTCTGCTCTCTTGCATGCGGCCTCCAGTTCACCTTATTTTGGAAACAAACCTTTAAAATACCCCGTGTGTGTGTATGTTGGAACTTCTTTCGCATCGCACGTAGCATCTGCGATTAGCTCGGTTGGCTACGTACGGCGCGAAAGAAGTTCAACGTACATACGTAGCCAACCGTGCTAATCGGAAGTGCGGGGCCCTATTGTGTACTCTGGCAGCGAGGCAGCCGTGGAAATAGGGTAGGGAGGGACGCGCGCTGGTACAAACCGGCTTCATGCTATATAAAGATTCTCAACATTCATCCTCCTCCTCCCCGCCACCCATGGTGGGAATCCTACCCATCGCACCTCCGCAACACCAAGCTGGCGTGGGCGCAGAGACGGGATACGCCAGCGGACGACCATGGACAAAGTGCAGGCCATTCGCTGTGCTCGCTCGTTCAGCTGCTCATTTCATTTCATGCATTATAATCAGAATATGTATCTAGACTGGAGGAATTCAGTGAGCTATACAGCTCACAGATGTCCATTAGGGGCACTGGGTAAGAACGTTACATCAAACAATACAAGAACATGAGAGTAGTGGAAAGTACAGGAAAGGTAAACAAATCAACCAAACAAACAAATACAACTAAACCATCCCCATCCTACCAGACAAAGCCCACTGAGGTATCAACTTATTTTTCCAAAAGCGGCCTGGCCTCAAATAATAGCTCAACAAAGTAGCCAGCTGGGCCAGCATGGGGCAACACCTGGCCCACCTTTTCACCCAGGCAACTGGAGAGCACAGACGAAGTGTTACTAACCTAATGTTTAAACTTACCAAATATCTTGAAGAGTCACAAATGAGAAACGAACATCTATAGTGTTAACAAAAATTGTACGTAATTTTCTTAAACGTGAAATCCAATGAATGGTCCTCACATTATCCGGGACACTTTTTCCAGCGCCCAGCCAGGCTATTTAAAACACCGTGAGCATCAACCGAACGCCACGAGGAAAATGTTTGCTATTGCATGCCCTTGTCAAGTGTGCCCTTATCCATTGCACGAGTGGGCGAACCATGTGAATCGAATCTTAAACGATTCACATGCACGAACCTCACTTTGAAAGCTCATGGAATGGTCAGGGAATTTCACACATTCAAAACCCCATAATTATGATTTTGGAAATAGTTTCTTCTGGAAGGGTACATTGAGATTTTTTTTTACATATTGCCATGCAATTTTCTGTTTCTTATCAGATCTGTAGACTTGGTTACAAAGGAAGGAGGGCTCTGGAATGTTCTTTACAAACTGGTGGAATTAACTGCAGTACAAACTCATCAGGCTGGCTTTCAAAAACCAAGAATATGATCGATGTGCATTGACATGACCGTACAAGCCCTTTTGTCAATCCACTGTTGGATGAGAGGCTTCCCACGCCATGCAGGTTGTGGGTTTATTTGACTACTTCGCCACGAGTGATAGCGTGGGCTAGGAAAGCGTTAATGCATTAGCCGCGTCCGTCTAGTGTGGGGTCACGAAGGAGGGCAACTCCTTTAATCCACGTCGTTGATGTGGGGGAACCGATTGGCGGATCCTATAATCCGCAATACACCACGGGAAAAATCGAAAATTGGCGAATTGTTGCAAAATGTACGAGTTTTCAGTCACACGACTCCTCAAATCTGCAAAAAAATGTAAATTTTAAGAGTTATCCCTTTATAAAAAATTTGGCAAGGCCAAAATATACATACATAGTAATGTGCACCGTAAGATAAACTGCAGCAGAAACCATATGGAGGGGCGCATTTTGCATACAAACGTTAAGAGGCTGACATGCCTGCCCACTGCTTCATGAGGGCAATTCCTCGGCTACAGCTTAAAACAGCACAATGCTGTAACAGGGCACATGCTGCACAGCACAATGCTGTCACAGGGCACGTGCTGCACCGCACAATGCTGTCACAGGGCACGTGCTGCACAGCACAATGCTGTCACAGGGCACGTGCTGCACAGCACAATGCTGTAACAGGGCACGTGCTGCACGCAGGGGGGAGGTCCCCTCCCGAGAGCCCCCCTCCCCTCCACAATGCACTCATCCCCACTCGGCAGCACCCCCCTCAGCACGTGCCCCCCCCCCCCTCATCCCTTCCCTCCTCATCCACAGCACCACACTTCTGCCTCTTGGAGCAGCAAAAGGTTAAATAAACATTTTTTTCATTTTTTAAACCGCTTTTAATCGTTGATGTGATGTATTGCCCATATTTACCCAAACATCGACAGAGAATTGGGCATTGGGCGTGCCGAGCATTCAGTCCGGTAGCGACTGGCTCCGGGGTTTTTCAGTTCAATTGGAAATGTCGGCGTTGTCTGCGGACGGACGGATGAACGGACGCATGTTTGGCCGTGAAAAAAGAGAAAAATCCGAGTGCTCACTCGTAAGAACTTAACCTTGGGCTCCATTAAAAACAAGTTCAGCCGTGGAGGGCGAGGAGGGGGGGAGGCAGCTGGGGGAGAAGGCTGAGGAGGAGAGTGATGGAGCAAGCACAGCGTGTGGGGGACAAGGCTGGTTGATGCCGTCACAAAAATATGGCCATGATTTGTTAAAAAAAAGTATAATACCACATTGTGTTTCCTTGTGTAGTTGGCCGTAGTGCGCTTAATCTGAAGTGGCGTCGATGTTTTTTTTTACCGAACGTCTACGGCTATTGCAAAGTAGTTTTTTATTTTATTCAAATGAAACGTACTTCATCATGCACGGGGCGCAAGCAAGGTTTAAGAAAGATTTCTCTACCATCGGCCAAAACCATGCATCAGATTTTCTGAAAAAGATTAATTCATTTAAATTACGATTGTCCCTGGCCTCTGTATACATTAGAACACAAGGATAAGATAATGTAAGAGTCCCGAAGGATCACCTGCACACTGGTATGTTGCAGATTTAAATAAAGTATTTTTAAATCTATACCAATAGCAGACATCCATATAAAAAACACGTAGTAATGAGACACAGAGGGAAATGCTCTCGGAGTAAATAACGAGATAAATGATACCAATTTAGCTTTATCTGTGAAGCCCTGTGTTTTATCCCTGCTGTCATTTTCTGCATCTGCAGGATTTGGGTATACCATTAACATTTCAGAACAGTATTTTGAGTGTGCAATTTTTATTGACTCTGCTGAGACCATCAAACTTTTAACGCCTATTTTACTATGAATGGTTCGTGCCAATTTGGACGTATCTGATCCAAGGCATGAATATCTAAGCGGAGCTTC